GAAGAAGACAGTTAAGCTGTACCAAAGAAGGAAATATTATTTGCCTATTAATTTACTCAGAGTGTGGTTCTTGTGCTACTCTCTCTTTCAGTAGAAATTTGTTATATTCCCTGAAAACAAGCAAGTTGGGTTCATCTCTTTAAGGAATGCCCCACATCACAGCTCCTCAAGGCAATTTTCAATTATTCATGTGACTAATGGGTTGGATCAAATAAGTCCGCTTCAGATAATATTTACATAGACAATATTTTACCTAATATTTTCCTCATGCTTCACCAAGTTATAATGTTCCAAGTACACCATTTTTTCATATACTCAGCCAATGTTTTATATGGTTGGATAGCAGAGCGAAACCAGGCTGGGTTTATTTCTTAATCCCACTAACAATCTGCATGGGAGGTTATTGTGTGGGATACCCAACGTGATATAGCAGCTACAGAGCTGGACTAGGACCTGGGAGACCAGGGTTAAAAAATCTCACCTCAGCCACGACGCTCATTGGGTGACCCTGGGCCAATCACCATCTCTCATCCCAACCTAACCCATAGGGTAGTTGTGAGGACAAGATGAGGAGGGGGAGAGCCATATATAGCATCACAAAAATGTAAGAACATAAGAAGAACTTGATAGACCATCTAGTTCAGAAGTCTGTTCTCACAGGGAACAAACAGATGCCTATGGGAAACCTGAAAGCAGGACCTGAGCACAAGAGCACTCTCTCTTCCTGTGGCTGCCAGAAACTGGTAAAAGGTAAAGGTAAAGGGACCCCTGACCATTAGGTCCAGTAGTGACCGACTCTGGGGTTGTGGCGCTCATCTCGCTTTATTGGCTGAGGGAGCCGGCGTACAGCTTCTGGGTCATGTGGCCAGCATGACTAAGCCACTTCTGGCGAACCAGAGCAGCGCACAGTTAACACCATTTACCTTCCCACCGGAGCGGTACCTATTTATCTACTTGCACTTTGACGTGCTTTCGAACTGCTAGGTTGGCAGGAGCAGGGACCGAGCAACGGGAGCTCACCCCGTCACGGGGATTCGAACCGCCAGCCTTCTGATCGGCAAGTCCTAGGCTCTGTGGTTTAACCCACAGCGCCACCTGCGTCCCATCAGAAACTGGTACTCAGAAGCATTACTGCATCCAATCAATAGCCGCCAATAGCTTTCTCCTTCGTGAATTTGTCTAACTCCATTTTAAAGCAATCTTGGAAAATACCATTAACGTTGAGGACTGTGGACCCTATATTTTAGTGATTTTGTTCCTACAAAGAGGGCCTATTTCAGAAGACAGTGCTGGGAAATGCTCAGCTTTACAGGATTTGTGCTGCAGACTCTTTAGCAGCTGTATGAAGCTACTCAGGCATCTCCAGATTTGGTCTAAGGTGATATCAGTTAGCAGATGAAATCAATCTCTGTTTTTCTTTTACATTTAATTCAAGTAAAACGGCAGCATTGCTTAACCGGTGTCTGGGATGAGTAGTAGACTAGATGAAGGGACTAGATGAAGGTCAATAAGAGTAAGTTAACCCTAAGCAGCTAGACAAAACCAGATTTTTTAACACTAGGAATGTGTTATTGAGGCTTTCCCCAACCTGATGCCTTCCAGATATTGCTGGACTCCAGTACCCATAGGCCCCAGCCAGCATGGCCAATGGTCAGGGATGATGGGAGTTGCAATCCAACAACATGTGGAGGGCACCTTCCAATATACCTGATTCAGAAGGTAGAAATCTACAGAACAGAAGGTATTATGTGTTGTAGAATAGCTGGGAACAGATATGCTTCACTGTATGGATTTAAAGTTAAACTAGCTTTGTTGATAAACAACTTCTACTCAACTATACAACTTAGCCTTTGGCTGTGAACATTATTTTTCTTTAAAAAAGATGCCGGATAAATTCACATTCAGACATTTCAAGGAACTTACTCTGGAAGAATCATCTTAAGATTGTTAAAATTCATCCGAAGTGCATGCTCAGCTTGAAAGCTTTTCTATTTTCAACATGACATACACTAATTAAAAAGATCAACTGAATTTACAAATGAATTCATTTGTATCATTTCTGCAGGCCTAACATGAACACTGCTGAAAAGTCTCTTTCTCACTAGTAATCTGTTTCAAACTTTTTTCTGCAAGTCTGCGGCACTTGTACACTATTGGTAAATATATCCTAAATTGCTTGCATCATATTCCATGGTATTCTCTTGTTCCATGGACAGACAAAATGCCATTCATTTATTTCTTACTTGACTACTTGATTGCTAAAGCTGAAGTAAACAAGTCCATATTTTGGGTTGGATTCAGGCAAAGTTACTTACACTTAGCTCTCACTGAAATGAATATGAGTGCAGTTAGGTCACGACTAACTTATCCTATTAATTTCAGTGAGACTCAAGATAAACTTATCCAGTTCACCTGGGAGTAAGGTTTACTAAATTTAATGAGATTTACTTCTGAATTGACATCTATAGGAATCTGTTGTTAGTCTTGATCTACCGGTAATCCATTTGCAGAAGATAAAAAATTGTCCCTTTGGTACATATATTTTTAATTTATGAAGAGCAGCAGAGAAAGGTTTCATTAGTTAATAAGTAATAAAAAGTTTTTAACCTTTAAAAAGTTGGAAGTAGGATTTAACAGCATTGAAGAAAACAATCTGAGGGAATGTCTTATCTTGAGTAGGGAGCATATGTGCCTGAATGGTTTGCTTTCTTTACCACACAGCTAACAAGCAGTTCTTTGATTGCCTGAGCCATCACACACAACTTTGGAGATAATAAAACCTATATTATTGTTCAATCAATTGTCAAGCGTGTAGCAGGGAAAAAACGTTGAGGCAATGGATACCACCTGTACGATAGTTTCATTACCTGTTTGTAAAGTAACTGCTCATTTTCCCGAGCATAACAGAAAAGAACATCTGTAAGAATCTTTCTCACATTCTCTTCTTGGAAATACTGCATTTCAGGAAACCTGAAAAAGAAAAAGAAAAATACATCACTTATACATACACCACAATGCTTCCTAATCTGTCTTCGGTTTCCTGATTCCCAGTCTTTTAAAAAGCAGTCTTACAATCTTTTATCTTTCTTCCACTCCACAAAGCTCTTACAGGTATCATATTTATCTTTTAAATATTGTTAGAAATGACACGTTATTAACTATATTACTTAGAATATTCCACTGCTTTACACAGGTGGATTTCTGAGAGTGATATCAGCTGTGAGCAAAACTGCATCGACATGTGATTTGTGTGAGATACAAGTGAAAGAACAGCAATAAAGAATAAAAATATCAGTTATATAAGGACACAGTCAGACATAGAATGATGGCAGCCTTTTCACATGTACATGGAAGCAAGTTCAACAGAAATAAATTGTGTTTGTTTCCAAGCAAATGTCTGGTCAGAATCAGGGAACAGGGCAAGTAGAAGATTCAGAAAGAAAATCTCCCCCTCTCTCCCCGTGAGTAAAATGAATTCTAAGTAAGAAGCAATTTTGTGAGTTCCTTCAGTTAGTTCACGAAAACTAACCAGTCATCTAGACCTTGTAAATAGTAAATTGAATTCTATGCCAAAATGAGTGTAACATTCTTTTTTACAATGCCTCCATTAACTAGAACAACTATCCAAACTTTAATTCCCCAATTATAACTTAGATAGTTATATAATCTTAAACATCCTGAACTATTCCCATTTAAAAACAAAAAATACCATCTGTGAAAATTAACATGAAAGCATACTTAGATTTTAATTATACATCTAACAGCATAAATGCATTTGAAAATACTGCTTTGGCACTGTCATACAAAATAAAGCAATGAGGGTTGTCAATATTTCCTGTGCGTTGTTTTATTTTTTGCCTACCAATTCTATAAATGGAAAAGGTATCAAAATGAATTTTGCATTGTAAAACTCATGCAAACTATTTTCTCATCTCAAATAACAGTAAAGAGTGATGCTACAACTAGAAAAGTAACATGCCATATAAGAAGTAATTGAGATGAATTGGAGCTACTCAGTGCAATCATTGTTCTAATTCTGACAAAATATTTTACGGAACTGAGTTCCAGCTTTGATAAATTCCTTAACAGGAATGACCTTAGGGCTAAAGAGATGAAAGAATAATTACAATGGTAATAAGGAACGTTTTTAAAAAGCATCTCCGACAGTAGGAAAGTAATACACAAAAATAGAAATGCTAAATTCCTCTGAATGACATTTCTCACTAATTACACATCACTTTTTATTGATTAAGTGTTAAGAATTACAGAAAATCATCTGTTCAATCTTGTATTATAAACATAATTTAGTCACAAGATCTGTCAGTTCCTCTCATTCTTTTTTCTTTCTCATTGAAACCATTTAAAACACGCAATACTTCATAATATTAATTTATAATAAACCCACTTCAATATCTCCAAGATGTCTCTTTGGGATTCGAAACCAAGAGAGACAATATTCCCTTATTTATCTAGATTATTTTGAATACTGTATTTTTCTTGAAGTGCCTGTCATTCTCTTGGGCAACCATCATGCCCATATTGTATCCTCCAAAGAACCACTCTAAGTTCTTACGAAGACCACATTTTACCCAAAAAGTGATTTAGAACTTTGAAAAACTATTTAAATAAATGTATGGTCCTGCGTGCTGTATCTGGCCCACTACGCCTTTTACTGAACTCACATGCATTAGATCTGCCAACAAGTACCAGCTTATCGGTCAGATTTTATTTTGGGAGGTGAAAAAGGGAAGCAAAAGCTGACCACCATCTAGTTCCAGGTGTTCCAGCTGAGGTGGCCGTACCCTTTCTTACCCTTCACCAAGGGGCTACCTAAGTATCCTCTTGTCCTGAGGGAAGGAGAGATTGAGATTCAACCACCACCTTGCCCTAGCTTTCAAAAAGACTTCCCCCTTGTAAATGTCTTAGAACCATAGAATGGTAGAGTTGGGGGGCACCACAAGGACCATCTTGTCCAAACCCCTGCAATGCAGGAATCTTTTTGTCCAGCGTGGGGCTCGTTCCCACGACCCTGACATTAGAAATCTTATGCTCTACCAACTGAGCTATCCCAAGCTCTTGACAGTACAGCATTAATTAACTGCTTGTGATTGTTTTAACATTTTTATGTAAACTGTTTTCTGAGGTCCACCTGAAAAGCCGTATATAAATACTTTAAATAAATATAGAATGATAAATAATACCATGTAGGTGAGCAGGATGTTGCCTTACGGCCAAAGGTTGTCTATCTACAGCAATGTTTCACAACACTTACGTTCTTGTCACATCTTGTTCAATCATTCCTCGAAGTTCTTTATCTTGGAAAAATTTGTTCCAAAGACTCTGCAAAAGGGCAGACATTCACACAAAACATAGAATAAAACTGATGGTCTATGTAAAAAGTTTGTATAAATTGGAAGCATGTTGCATTTGGGCTGCTTAAAAGAAGGCAATATTAGTGAATATCAGACTTTGGGAGGTTTTCACCTTTTGATCAAGCTGCATTTTTCAAAAAGCCTCACACGATTTTTTTCCCCCTATCATAGAATCTTAGAGTTGGAAGAGGTCCCTGAAGGTCCTCTAGTCCAACCCCCCAGCAATGCAGGAATAAGCAGGGGGCCCATATGGGGATCAAACCCACAACCCTGACATTATCAGCACCACGCTCTAGCCAACTGAGCTGAATGTCATGGAACCTAATATTATCTTATTTTTAGTTTGCATAAATACATCAAAACATTAGAAGTTGTAATGCTAAATATTTCTGGTGTGTTTTCTGCATTACTAAATGGTGACTTTTACATGCACATATACTTTACAGGTTGTTTTCTATGGGGAAGAGGAAAGTTGCAATGCAATGATGTCACACTACATGCTCTGTATCCCTAGACCATAGGTGGCTAATCTGTGGACCTCCAGAATTAGCTGGACTCCATCTCCCATCATCCCTGACCACAGGTCATGTTGGTCAGGGTTGTTGGGATATAAGAGTCCAATAATAGCTGGAGGGCCACTGCTCCTGCCCTTGACTAGGGAAAAGAAGAAGAAGAGGAGAGGGAAGACTTCTTTCTTTGATGACAGCCAAATGTCTCCTGCCATGTTTAAATCAACGTGATGGTGAATCTACAACAAAACATTTACAGAGCTGCTCAATAACTATATTGTCCAATTAAGGCCAACAGCCATTCTTGAGATATTTTTACAATTCCACAGCTGCAAACATTTGCAGAAAGCCCTGATCAGTATTCATGCAAAGCTTAAATAAAATGGCTTAGTTCACTAGAAACTAACAGAAAGCGAGAAGCTTCCCAAAATGTCTGTGGGTACGTGGTCACTGGAGAGTCCAATATTGCCCTCGAAGCACTGTATGTTGCTTTAAAAATAATATGACATGCTAGTTCAACATGCAATGTATCAACATTATTGGTTCCACTTGATATTCACTGGAAGAATTAATCATGGTATATTCAGCTGTTTTTAAAATTGCAGAAATGTTTAAATAAAAGAGCTGATGACTAACATTTATTTTAAATGAATAAGAACAGGTGGCAACTCTCGGAGAGAATGAAACAAAGTCCCAGCTCTGATCTCTTGCTCATCAAGACATCATCAGCTGAAAGTGATGAATACTCAGCATGCTCCACTTTTGGAGAAGAGCATCTTCAGCTCCTTTTCGTCTGTTTAGAGATGGTATATCAAGTGCCATAGGCTTGCTTCACTTGGCTACTTGAATAGTGGACCTAAAGGTGAATTTGAATAGAGGCTGAACAAAAAAAATTCACTAGATGCAAATAGGAAAAAGAACATCTATAGCTTGCATAAAACTGTGTATTTATATTGGGAGTGATAAGGGAGTGAGTTCACACAATGCTGGCTGCTGGATGATGTAGATACGGCCACAGGCTTGAAGGATTAAACACCCCCCTTGCTTAATGGTTGTCAACCTGACATTAGATGCTTGGGCCCTCAAAAAATCCACTTAGGAATCTTTTCAAATTGGACCCTGGTCTATGTCAAACTTTTAGATGTTGAATTTCTTACTGATGCTGACTCTGAATATACGCTGCCATTTGATTTATCTATTTTTTCTAGCTAATCATGTTATATTATAGTTCAGCAGTAGCCAATGTAGCATCTTCCATATGTTGTTGAACTCTCATAAACTCGGATCATTGGCAATTATCTCTTATAGTCGTCATGACTAACTTGTCCCACTGATTTAAGTGAGGTTAAAGCATGTCTAAGAGGAAGGCACATTTGGCAAATCCTCAGCATGATCAACTCCTGCTCGGAAACCTATGTCCCCACTGTGGAAGGATGTGTGAATCCATAACTGGCCTCCACAGTAACCTATGGACACATTGTTAAGACCATATTCATGGAAGACAATCCTACTCAGCTACGAGTGATCACCAAATAAGAAGAAAGCATGACTAATTTAATCTGATACAACCCTATCATTTCTATACTTTTTCTGGTTTTAAGTGTTTTTATTTCCTTTCCCCCCTTTAGATCTTATTTCCTATTTTGATGCTAGGTGTTAAGTTTGAAGGGTTGGCTGATAGAATATTATTTTTTTACATGATGAATGTACAGATCCTTTCCTACTGAAATTCCCAATTCAGTCACATCCTTGAGCTACTATCCACTTCAGGCAACTATGGGAACAAACAATAACTCTGTGTTTGTCACACCACCATACAGTGTCACAAGTACTGTGAACTATGATGGTAGGCCATGATACTTTTAAGATGTCTACTGTGTTATCTAGTGCTATTTTTCTTGAAAAAGAGGTGCCAGAACTCACGATGACTGCCTCCCATGTTCTCTTTAGAATGGCAATAGCACCTACCTGAAAGGTGTCAGAACTGAGTTCTGGTGAATTCCAGGTGACAAAAAGCCCTGGTGTTATGTCCTTTCCTTTGGATCAGGAGAACGCATGTTAACCATCCGAACTGACACTATCTCCTTTGACTGTGACATCTCAGCTAGCTGTACAATGCACACACTCTACCCGATAATGTAGTACAAAGCAGTATTACCGAGTTCACCATGAGAGCAGGAATTTTGCTCCTCGAGAAGAGAACAACCCACAAGCTGACATGACCTGGGTTGCAGCATTTTCAGAAAAAGAACTGTTCGTGTCTAAGGTACCAAAAGACACTGCTGTTCCAGCATTTTCAGTGTCAAAATAATAACAACAACAACAACAACAACAACAACAACAACAATTTATTATTTGTACCCCACTCTGGGTGGCTTCCACAGAAACCAAAAATACACTAAAATATCACACATTTAAAACTTCAAGGCACACCAAGCTGTAACCTCATTTCATCTCTTTTGGATTAGCTGTCCATATCAAGGATACTTCTACTCTTTACTTGATGAAGAACATCGGAGGTTTTATTGCATGCTCCGGATATAATATAAAATAAGTTATAATTACCCCTTCATCCTGTGAAAGTGGGTTGTTGATCATCAAGTCTTGTTGTCCAGCTTTTCGAGGATTTGTAATATGCTGTGAATAGGAATTAAGACCTTTAGATTCTCTATTAGACATGCGGAAAATATTGAGGCAGAGGGAAGGAAATATGTCTGGATTCAACTTACTATTTCTTTAATCTTGTTATACAGTGTTCTTAATTTTGTTGTTTTACTGATCCATTGATTTCTGTCAGAGGGGAGAACATTCAGAAACAGCTGCAGATCAATGAAACATTGGTTGGTTAGAAAGACAAGCGAGTTATATTGACGTAGTGACACTTTCTAAACAGAATCATATTTGTAATTTGGAACTTGGGCATTTCGTGGTAGGATATAGTAAACTGAAATAACTGTAGTGTGCATGTTCAAAGGATTCACTGAAAGGCACCTGGCAAAGATGTTAAGCCCTCAAACAGGATCCTCTTTAATACTTCTCACTTGTGCAGTATCTTTGGTATATTATGCATTATATTGTGCTATCTAATGTGATATTGTAAATAAGTTGCTTCAACAGGTTAATCATATATTCTGACAGACCATACCTGCTTCACTTGTCAGCTCCACAGATACATTGTCTGTTGGCAACTGACCTGAGCAGCCCCTCCTACTTTGCTTAACCAATCCTATAGGAAGGTTGCTTAGGGTTCTTATAGTCTCATCCCACAAAAAGAAAAGGATATACGGAACTATTTTAAAAGCAGGGATAACTGATAAATCCTGACTAAAGATCCTAAAGATTAGTTGCACTTTCAGTGAAGAAATATGACTTTGATAAAAAAAATTCACAATGAAGCATGCCTAAGTGAAATATAATTGACATAAATCCTTCAATATGAACAGTAATTTAGTTGTAAGGTATTTCAAATCATTAATTGTTCTGTGAATTATAAAATCAACAGAAGAACATTGTGATGGAATCTTTCAAAATTCAGTTGACTCTTTACATCAGCAATCTTCAAGTGCATCAGGTAATACGTTGGTATATTACAACTACAAGCTGTAAATAAATATTTTCTTCTTACCTTCCAACAAACACTACGGAACCTGCTGCTTCTCAGCTGCCCATTAATCCCCTTCAGCCGTATTGTTGCCAAGTAATTGTTGTTTACAAATAATTCTTCCCATTCTTTGCTACATGGAATGAACAGGGGGAAAAAGAACTTTTAAAAATTATTATTAAAGACTTAGCTGACTGTGAAGCAATATAACATGAAGTAATTTTGGGTAAACAAAAGGAAAGGAAGTTTTAAATGTATATATTTAGCAGTGTGCTATTTCTAAACGCATGGTTGTCTTTTTGGACACATTTCTTCCCTGGATTTAATGAATATGTAGATCACTATAATTATGCCAGCTACTGAAATTCATAATGTCTGTGGAGGCTATTCCATTTCCTCTAAAATGTTGGTACTGCAGTTCAGTGAATAAACAAGAAAAATGAATATTAATATAAGCACATTTGGGTTTCAACCATAGATAAAGCAATACCTATTTGAAAGAATACCTAATTTCAAAATATGGTACAAGGAAGTATAGTGTTGACTGTTATTTCTGCACATGACACATTTGCCTAAATGAAGCCTCTTTTCTACATAACGTCAAGCTGGGCAGTTAAGCATAATAGAAGATGACTTCTGTTAACTTTTAGTGCTGTTTACTATTGCAGTCTCTTCCACTTCTTTCTACATGATCAGTCTTAAAAATTTAACAGGTGCTAGCAAATTTTTAAAAAATAAATTTTAAAAACCCCCTCACTGTATAAACTGTTAAAGGCAAGCTTGAGTACCTTGCAGTACCTACGGCTGACTAGATAAACAACCTAAATATGCCTCCTAGGCACAAAGACACCAGGGGCCTAACACCTGTGCTTCATTAATGTACAAGTAAATCTACTCTACTGGGAAACAATTGGAAATTAATTGTCCCAAACCATTTAGTGAATTTGAATACAAGAATTAAACTATATTTTCTCTATTTTCCACTGAACTGAATCTCTAGAACAATACCACCCACCTGAGGATCTAAAGTGAAATAGCCCAAAGACTTCCTTGAGTCACTGAATTAACAAATATAATTTGAGTAAAACAAAAACAAAGACAAAGGCAAACTAAAACTTCTTCTCACCAGGTATTTACATAAGCAAAATCAGAGATTCCTTGGTTTGTGGGAGAAGGTGAAGGTAGGTCATGAAGTAAAAGCAGGCTATACCTCAGTTACCACATTTGGTGAAAGTTAAAGGTTTATGGTTTTTCTTCCTCAGATAAGAGTATGAATGGTAACTCAGACCAAACATTGGTTACAGTTCTTGATTTGTGTGGAGCAAGACAAACCAAGAGACTGGGTTCAAACATAATAATAATAATAATAATAATAATAATAATAATAATTTATTTATAACCCGCCCATCTGGCTGAGTTTCCCCAGCCACTCTGGGCGGCTCCCAATCAAGTGTTAAAAACAGTACAGCATTAAATATTAAAAACTTCCCTGAACAGGGCTGCCTTCAGATGTCTTTTAAAGATAGGATAGCTGCTTATTTCCTTCTCATCTGAAGGGAGGGTGTTCCACAGGGTGGGCGCCACTACCGAGAAGGCCCTGTGTCTGGTTCCCTGTACCCTCACTAACTCAAAGTGGTGCCTCAATGCTAACTTAATGCTAACACAATGCAAAGTGGTGCCTCAATGCTAACTCAAAGTGGTGCCTTAGCAGCGGAAGGAGGCAGCTACTATCGCCTTTGCTCCTGACCTGACCATTTGCTCATGCGTGCAAAAGGTTTGCCTCTGTGTTCCACAAGAACCAGGTCACTGCTAGGATTCCAGACTGGGCAATGTATTTGTTGGGCAAAGTAATGTGCAACTCCTAGAAAAACTTTTGCAGGCTAAGCTTTGTTCTGATCAAGCAAATACAATAGAATAAAGAATCCAGACATATGTTTAAAAGAATTGGGGCATACATCAACATACTTTACAAAACTATTCTGATCTGATAAACGACACAAAAGAAGAAAATGCGGAAAACAGAAACCTCTGTTGCCAGCTATTTGTTCTGTGGAAGGAACAAAACACGACTAATAAAAATGTGTGCTTTACCAAGTCTTCTACCTAGAAAAAATGTTTTTTGCACAGCATAGTGTCTGAAACTTTTATGGGAAATTTAGCAGAAATGTAAGAGTTGCAGATTAGTAATGCCAGCCAGAGACGTTAAAGCCTGGCCTCAGAAACAGGAAGAGCTTCAGCATTAGGACTGCAGGTGCCAAGATCAACCAGATAAACACTGTTATCTATAATTACTTCATTTTTAGCTTAAATCACAGGTAATGAGGGAACTCAGTCTCGAAAAGGCAATTAAGAACTGTACACAGTCTTTCTGCTTTTTGTACAAAGAAAAATATTTTAGAAATTGTTCAAAGATTGATCCATTTTAATTCTCCTAGATTTTTTTTAAAAAATAACATTCAAATAATTACTAGCAGTACAAAGGCAAACAGTTTACAAGAGTGTAGGACATATTTGTTACTGACATTGGTTAAAATAATGACCCACAAAGCCATACAACCATCTAGCAAAATTAAAAATTATCCAATATATCATTTAAGTATCCCTGGTATTTTTATTATGTGGTCATTTCATAATTTTCATAAAACTTTATATACAAATAGTCTATATGTGCACATTTAGCAACAAGAAACCAGTTATTCCTCATATACAGAAACAATCTGACAAGTTAAAATAATATCATGCTCTGTGAGAAGGCAGGTGAGGGGCCATAGAATCGAGAAGAACCACTCCATGGTAGATGGCGGCTGTCTGCCAGCAGAATGGCACATCTCCAGGACAGCAGTGAAAAGCTTCACTGATGCCGCTGTCCCACTAGCAATGTCCTGTGGGTGGTGGGGGTCAAAATAGGACATTCTGAAGGTGTGTCAGAGGAGACGACAGCTTTACAGGATCCTAAGCCCCTTCACTCTCCCAAAAGGTTCCACAAGAGGCCTCAAAACCATGTTAGTTCTGAAGCTGGCATAATTTATTCCCAGGGAGCGGGGAGAGAAATGGAACAAGGGAGGTCACTCACATCTCCCACCCTGACCACCATGAGTCCCCAGGGATTTGAATAAGGCAGTTGCTTCCTATAGAATCTGTGCTCCCTGCTCCCCTGCAATAGATCACTCAGCTAGTCTCTCTGCTTCTCCAATGCTTAGAAGTCTTAAATTTTTGGCAAAGGAATTTAATAAACAGCAAAGAGTAAAGTGGCTTTTAAGTATCAATGTTCAGCATATGGTTGTCAAGGGTTGAGTATGGAGGTGATGAAACATCTCCCCGCCCCCCTTAAATTGACATTTCTCATCTGATTGACAGAGATGGGCATTTCACTCCATTCAGATAATGGACAGGTGCAAATATCCAGAACAGGGAAAGCCAATATGCTGCCCTTGAAATATTTTGGGCTATGACTCCCATCATACCTGGCCATTGGCCATGTGGCTGGGTCTCATGGGAGCTGTAGTCCAATATAAATCTGAAGACTACCACATTGTCAGCTTCCACCTTTCTATATCAATGGTAGCCAAAGAGCCAAACATGAATAAAACTGGAACTACTTTTGCCCCATTGTCACAAATGTAGGGCATGGGATCAGAACTGAATCTGATGATGTGACCTAAACACACTAGGGAGCAAGCAATACTGAACACAATATAATCCACTTCTGAGTAAACATACACAGGATTGCACTGTAAGACACTAAAACTTTATATGTTCATAAATCAACAAGATGCAGTCCCCAAACCATTTAATGTGCTGGATACTAACAACAGACAATGGGTTGCCAACATTTTTGGACAAGTGAGCAACAATTTTAAATTTTGAGGGTTAAGCCAGAGTCAGTCACAGAATGGCTGCCATGGAAGCATCACATAACACAATATGAGAGAGAGAGATTGCTGCTTCTTTGACCCCACACCCCTGGCCCAACAAGATGAACCCACCACAGGAAATATGGATCCTGGTTACTAGGAAAAAAGGAAGAATGAACTACAGAGATACAAAGGACTTATTTCAAAGGAATAAGATGAAGCAGGAGAAGTTCACAAAATGAAAAATGAAAGCTGCAGGTATTTAGGACCTGAGGGATTCCTACTGCCTGCTGTCTAAACCACTCATTTATGGATCATAGCTCTGGCTTCAGCTTTCTTCTGAAGTCAGGTACTTGAAGACCAAGACTCAGGCTGCTTTCACATCTGTGTGTTAATGTGATCTGTGGGTTGCACAGATTCTGATTTTCCATGTGCCCTTTTGTGCACATTAGTTCACCCATGGGAACTTTCAACTGAATTCTATTTCAGTGTTTCTCATCTACGCTAGTGGGCTGCACTTGATGAGATGTAACGGCACTGTGTGTTGCACCCCAAACCCCTCTCCCCTCAAGGACTACTTCCCAACTCTCCCTAAATTCCAGATTGTTGAGATCCATTGTGGGCATATGCACATATATTTGTTTACCTGTGCATGTGGCATTTTTATTTTCAAGATACAAATGTTCTGATATTTCAGATTTGCACAGAAAGTGAGTTTAAAAAGTGCACAAATGTGTGTGTTGTGGCCAGACCTACTAAGGAATGTTTCACCAACAGAAGGTGGGGTTGATAGATGGCACTCAGATAAACACCACCACACATGTAAAGCAAAAGAGGTGGGTGAAATAGACAAATTGTTTGAATAGTGTCATGTGATGCAATGGTTGCAAACACTATTCTCTGATAAAAAGAAAAAATAACTTTAAAATCTATTAACCGCAGAGTTACTGAAAGATTCTGGCACCTTTGTCTGCTACAGGATACTTGAAACTAAAATTCTAGTATTTGCAATCATCTGCAGACTCCCGAACTACTAAACTTGGCCAACAACTTGCTTGTGGTTCTGCAGCAGATGTTCTTGCTTTTAGGTCACTAAAAACCTTATGGACTAGTTTCACTCTCCAAGGAGGAAGTGCCAGCATGATTAAGATCTGAAAAAGAACAACTCAACACCACCAGAAGCATGGTGCCATTTATCTGTCAATTTCAGTCACACTGGCACAAAGATGATTTGAGCTTGGAGTTTAAATGAATCCTGATAGCATTATTGCAGTGCATTACTTAGGCCCACTGTGCTTAAGAACTTTTAATAAATATTTTAATTCACACTCACTTTAGTAATGAACAATGGCCATCTGTGTGTGTGAGATGGTACTTGTTAAACTTTAAAAACCCACGACAAAGACATTAACATAAAGCACATAAGATATTAAAGGAATGGTGGGATTTATCAGAATAAATGGAGCTGTTTTGAAATTATAGCTACAGAAGAGAAATGACTCCAAAACACCAGTTATTATTTTTCTATTTACTATTTTTTAATACTATTTTTTGCTTCTTGGAAAAACTTCCATGAATGCTTCCACTAAAGTGGTTTGTAAAAATAAGAGATGAAGAGGCAACTGCTCCAGTTTTCTGGTTCTTTCCCTCTGTTGACAATATTAAAGGTCAAAGGCAAGAAGCAGCTCTTTAGCTCTCTCCATGAAGAGGTGTTGCGTGTAGGAACTGTGAAATATACTTCAGTACATAACAAACTGGTTCCTGCCATCTCTGCTTGTCCTAGAAGGAGAAGATTCTTAAGCACCAAGGTAATCTATGGCAGTGATGGCTCCCTGCATGTCCTAGTCATAGAAACCAAGTCTCTCCTGGATCTACTCTGTACTCGGGTTCTAAGCAAGGGAGCAACAACTATGTGATTGACCACAATAGCAGAGAGTTAACAACACATATGGTGGCACAAGGTGGGCTGCTCATACTGTCTTCTGTCTCTGACCTTTGTTTCATCCACTACTATCCCTTTAAGGCAGGAGACAGAGTCAATCATACTGCAGACATGAATGGCTGTATTTCCAGGTCTGCCATTTCTCACATGTCTGTGACTGATGTTACTAGAACCCACTAGAATTATAAGGCATTATAAGAGAAGTCCTCTTGTTTGAATGGGGTAAGTAACAGGAAGCAGAGATCAGGAATAAAGGGACAGTTCTTTTCCAATGGAGGAATGTAGAAAGTGCTGATGATACTAAATTGTTCAGGGTCATTCAAACAGAAATGGATTGTGAAGAGCTCCAAAAGGACCTCTTCAAACTCAGTGAATGGGCGGGGAAAAGGCAAATGTGATTCAGTGTAAACTAGCGCAAAGTGAAGACTGTCAGAGCAAAAAAACCAAATTTCACATATACGCTTATGAAGTCTAAACTGGCAGTGACTGACCAGGAACGAGACCTTGGGGTTGCAGTGAAGATGTTGATTGAGTGTGCAGCAGGTGTGGAAAACGCAAATTCCATGCTGGGGTCATTAGGAAAGGAATTGAAAATAAAACTTCCAATATTATAACGTCATTAATACAAATCTGTAGTGTGGCCACATTTGGAATACTGTGTACAGTTCTGGCTGCCTCACCTCAGAAAGGATATTGTAGAGTTGGAAAAGGTTCAGAAAAGGGCAGCCAAAACGATCAAGCAGAAACTTCCCCATGAGGAAAGGTTGAAGCACTGGGGGGCTTTTTGGTTTTGATAAGAGACCAGTAGAAGGTGACACAATATAAATATATAAAATTATGCATGGTGTGAAGAAAATGGTTCAAGAAAAGGTTTTCATCTTCCTTCACAACACTAGAACTTTCGGACATCCAATGAAGCTGAATTTTGGAGGACAGGCAAAATAAAGTACTTCTCCACATAGCACATAGTTAAACTATGGCATTCACTCCCACAGGAGGCAGAGATGGCTACCAACTTGGAAGGCTTTAAAAGAGGATAACAGAAATTCAAGCAAGTCAAGGCTACCAGTAGCCGCTAGCCATAATGGCTAGGTTCTGCCTCCACAGTCAGGGGCAGTATGCTTCTGAATACCAGCTGCTAGAAACCGCAGAAGGACAGAATGCTCTTGTGTATGCGTCCTGCTTGCAGGCTTCCCATACGCATCTGGTTAGCCGCTGTGAGAACAGGATACTGGACTACATGGGTCACTGGCCTGATCCAGTAGTCTCTTCTTATGTTCTTAACCCTTTCCAAAGGCTGCTTTTTTGTCAGAGCTCTTCTTTGTGCTAACATTATTATCTAATTTTATTGCAATATGCTGAACAGGTGTTTCATAAAACAGAATCATTCTCTGATGCACCTGGAGATAATTCGGAATTGTAGACTAAATCTGTCCATTTAATTGGGAGGGAAATACTGCAATAATTTAATAAATATGGACAAGGGAGAGACAGAAAGAGTAATTCCTCCAACAAACATGCCAAAACTCAAGCACTTCTCTCTTCAGCTTGAAATTTGTGTTTATACGGTGACATGGATGATGTGGCATACAGTCCTCTTCCTAATTATACAACCAACATAGATCTCTCTCCTCCACTCTGTGGACCACAGGTTTTAAGAAGCAAGCAAAAGGGGAAAGCTGTGGTCCACAAAGTGGAGGGGAGAAACCTATGCTGGCAATAATCCCTGCCTAGTCCAATGTGGATGGTTGTGACAATGTACAACAAGCAGAGCAAAAATCTCCATGGGAACTTGCTGTAAAGAAGTGACAAATCTAGATCTACAGAGAAACCTGATGACCCCTTAGTCACCCAGCATAAAAGGTTATGTGGGACAGGGAAACATAAAACAGGTAGAGAGGAGAAACATGTATTGGCTTTGCCCCTGCCTAAGCTGTAGCACTCTGAAACAAACAGCACCCTAAAATGGAAGGGTTCTACTACTCCTGCCCCCTAAAAATGAACATGGCTGTGATCATTGCACCAGGAGCAGGGTTGAAGGGAAAGCAAAAGGAGCCATATACAATTTTTTTATGGCTCATTTCCCTTCAAAATAAAGACCACAATATTTCTAGGAACACTTCCACTTTTAAGAAAATAGAGGAAAACACCATATTGCTTTCAGTCTGGTTTGCAAACCAAGTGGATCTACTCAGCAAGGATACACATAATTATGAATACAGTTCCATTCACATGTGCTAGCATTCAGTTGCATAAGTGATCCTTTACTGAAAAACACTGAGACCCATTGTTGAGACACTCAAGAAGCAGGTCCTCTCTTACATTTTTCTTGTCTCATGCTGGCATGAAACTCATGTAACACTAAGACAAACCATGAAGTTGAAGTGTGAATGAGCAAGCAGAAAGAAAAGAAAAGCAGCTAAGCCATAGTTTGGCTGAGTGTTGCATTCAAACTTAGGCCTATGGTTTGTCTCACTCAAACTGTAGCTGGGGCTTGTTCTTGGCTCAACACTTGTGGCTTGCTTGGAGCAAGGACAAACCACAAAACTGAGTTTAGCTGTAGTACGAAGCCAAGCTAGTCTAAGTTCTAGGTAGCAACAAGACTAGGTGAGGAGCAAAGCAGCCATGATTTTTCCTCTGACTGCCTGGGCGCTTGCTCGTTCACACTTGGCCATGGTTTGAATTAGAGTTACGTGTGAACTGGTTATGAGGTGGACTTGGAAAATAATGTTTAAGTGGGATCAGAAATAACTTCTAAAAAATCATCCTTACAGTGCTAGAACAAGAGTGAAACAATCAACTCCCAACTAGAAGCAAGTAGAAAGCCTGCTGCACCATTCAGTCACCAATTCCTGCCTTGATCTACCCCTCCCACCTTATATAAAAGGTAAAGGGACCCCTGACCGTTAGGTCCAATCGTGGACGACTCTGGGGATGCGGCGCTCACCTTGCTTTATTGGCCACGGGAGCCGGCATTTGTCCACAGACAGCTTCCGGGTCATGTGGCCACTAAGCCACTTCTGGCGAACCAGAGCAGCGCACGGAAACGCCGTTTACCTTCCCGCAGGAGCACTACCTATTTATCTACTTGCACTTTGACGTGCTTTCGAACTGCTAGGTGGGCAGGAGCTGGGACTGAACAACGGGAGCTCACCCCGTCGCGGGGATTCGAACCGCCAACCTTCTGATGGGCAAGTCCTAGGCTCTGTGGTTTAACCCACAGCGCCACTCACGTCCCTGGTCCCACCTTATATACACATTGTTTATTTGCCTGATCCTAGAAAGACCACCTTAAGAAGATCCATATTAGCTTGAACATCCTCTATTACAAGTCTTTCTTACAGAGTTCTGCAAAGCACTATTAACTTGGATGATACGGGCATAATTTAAATGAGCAACATTAAGCTAGTAAACTATTTTCAAGGAAATAGGAAGAAAAATAATTTGGAAACAAAATTATATTATGTAAAGCATGAGGTGTCAATATTTAGTAGACTGTTATGCAAAATAATGCATCGAAATCATAACTCAGTAAAACAAGGGATATTAATGTTAATACGTATACGTGTTACACGTGAAATATAATTAACAGTAGTTAGAAAATCCTTAAAGAAAGTTATTTTGTCCTCAAAATTAGATTCTACAGAGTAAGAAACAAAAGCCTAATTGTCCGTCTCCCCAATTAGTTATTCATTAGTATATATTTTTGGGGAAAGCTGTTAAATAAAAGAAGTTAAAAATGCTCACCTTCAATTTTATTTCATAGGTCACTTTTATATCATCTAATAAGATAATTAAAAACATGCAAGCAGCTGGTACTGTGGCTAAACAGATTAATGTAATAGTCTGTAGTCATATGTGCTGGCAAGAGGTTCAACTCTTTGGCGAGGAGAAGGTCAGCTGCCCTTGGGAAGGAGAGAAAGACAGTATTTCTACTTTCTAGTGGCACTGTATTGCCAGCATTAAGGATGGAGCCCACCGTTTGCTGACTAAGAGAATTACCATTCTCAGGAAGTATCAAGGGCAAAAATTGCCATTAAAATGGATAGTTCATTTCCTCAAATTATTAACTGTGCTTTGTATTTAGAGGTTCTAGCAATCACACACCCACAGCAAATGTAACAGTTTCAATTGCAAGTATTAGCAATCCGCCTCTTCCACCAGCAGTTTGCCAACTCTCAATATATTCCTGAGAGGGTCTTCTTCAGGTCCCCCTGCCTTCAGAGGTTGATGTCTGTGAGTGAAGACCCACAAGATGGATTTTTCAGTGTTGGCTTCCAACAAGAACTTGGTTGACTTGACAGAGTTTGATATATTTCTACTCATAGGCAAATACCTTTTTTATTTCCCCTGGCCATTTAGCTGTTATGTGTGGTTTTCTTTTTTCTTTTCTTTTTTAATACAGGTGTTCCTGCTTTGCTTTTGTTTTGTTAAAAACCCTGTACAGGGTTGCATGTTCATGAATTCCACTGAAATCAATGAGATTTACATATACATAAATGACTGTAGCTATTGCTTCTTCCTAGTTTGACTTTATTATATATCAATTTGAAAAGAAACATTTTCAATATATTTTCCACCGTTGCTGTGATGACACTGTTATGGATTACTGGTCAGTTCCTTTTTTCTAAACCATTACATTTTTCCACAACTATATTTTACTTTAACATTCACACATTTTTGCTCATGAAGTTCTTGTCTGTTCTTTGCAATGTAATTTAGAACTTAGAGCCAAACAATTTGCAGCTCGCCTCATTATATGTTTGGAGCTACTTCTTACTGAGAATAAAATATTCATTTCACACCTTAAATACTGTAATGCTACTTAATAGCAGTGTCGGGTCTGCCAACTATTAAAAGCCAAGGCTTTCTTCTTCTTCTTTAATATACCATATGACCTAGCTCTATCATTTTCGCTTTCTAATTGTACCAATAAATTAATACTGTGCTGCAATAATGGCCGGCTCTGATTTATGATAAAAATGGTTTAGTATTATTTTAGCCAAGTCGTTCTTTATCACTTACTTTCAAAGCACAATTATTATTCAGCGATCTTGTAACCAAGAAGCCTTGGGGCTATGGCACCTGACTATGTGGCAATCAGCAGAATTTAGATGGGGGGGCACTAAGGCTCTATTTTCTGATTATCCAGAAAGTTGGACTCAATTTGACATTAATTATACATATCAAGTGCTATGAGACCTACTGTTAAACCAACAAAATTCAATGTGTGCTGTTGTATCCTGTCACTCATCTGTCTATCAAATAACTTCTACATCTCTATTTAAGAGTCCTACGGTCACTTATATTTTGGAGCCTCCACTTCTTGACAAAATAGTAATCTATGGTTGAAGATAGCAAGACCATAGCTCTTGTTTTCTCCTTTGGAAGCTAATACAGAAAATATTTTTTTTTAAAAGTTCAGAGAAATCAAGGAAGCTATTCAGTTTGTGAATTCCTGTTCTCACAGAAACATTGTTCTTGCAAAAGACAAAACTTTTCTCAGAGGTCAACTAACATACGCTACAAATCTGTTGGATGTTCAACAGATGCTCAATGTTCATGGATTCTTCTAGTGTTTCTGTTCAGATACTTCAAAACACTTATTCAATATTGCATTCATCACTAAAATGCTATGAAGGCTACATAGCCAGGCAACACCCTTTGATGTTACTCATACCAAGACCCCAATCTCAAGTGTTACATGTCACCTTCAAGTAAAACCAGGGTTTATGATACTCCAGCAGAAGGCCTTCAGCCATTGCAAACAATTGTAATTCTTTCTGAAAACACCAAACTTCAGCATGGTCAACAGTCAATGAGTAACCCATGGCTTTATTGGTTAGCAGTTCAGGTTCATATGATAGGCAGAGCTGGCATCAGGACCTGTCATTCTTGACAGGTCCTCTGTACCTTGGGCAAGGTACTGACAACCCAATCAGCACCAAGCAATTGGATCTACATACAATGCTCCTGATCCAGCACTGCTTTAATTATGGGAAATTAAATTACTTCCTTGACCAGGCATGGCCAAACTTGGCCTTCCAGATGTTGTTGGCCTACAACTCCCATCATCCCTAGCTAACAGTACCAGGGATGGTGGAAATTGTAGTCCCAAAACATCTGAAGGGCCAAGTTTGGTCATGCCTATCCTAGACTCTGCAACCCAGTAGTATTTGGAGTGGTGCTACTGTAGCCAGGAAAGCCTGCATGTGTCATTGACAGGATAGGGGACCTGTTAGAGGACACTATGCTCTCAAACATGGAGCCAGCCATGATCACAGGTCTAAAAATTATTTGTATTGAGTTAATATGGAGTTTAAAAAAGTCTAAGTAAACTAAGTAGCTCTAGGCAGACAAGTACAAATAAAAGCTGATCCTAATTTCTGTGACTAGCCATGAAAGAAGAACAATTTGCTAGGAAATGCTGATAATTCCAGAGTGAGGATTCTAGGAAAGACAAAAAGACTTTAACCCAAAAATGGTGTGGGAGAGAGAGAGAGAGAGAGAGAGCTTCCTTCAAATGAAAATACCACACACCATGAAATCTGTTCCAATCACTGGTGTGACTTCAGCATACAGTATTCCCTGAAATGTCCTCCAGTTTCTGGAGTCGCACCAGAGACTGGCACAGGGCTTTTCGCAAAAGTAAATTAAAGGAAGAAATTCAAATTAAATGCTGACAAAAATGATTTCATATGTTGTTGAACTGGAATTTTATTTCTCAGGAGCCAGAAAGCATGAGAAACTCTCACCTATATGAAAGAAATGTTCCATCAGAATCCGAAGTATGATGCAGTCTTCCATTCTCATTTGACATATCTAGGAAGATAAAGGGAGGTTTTTAGCAGGTTAAAGGAGAGTGGCATGGATGTACAGAAGTACCAGCTCTTTGCACAGTAAGATTGGACCACTGGGAGTTGAATCAACCCTGATGCAATCTGCCTCTCAAAATGTATGGATTAAGTTCATTAATGTGAAGGGAAAAAATACAGAGGAGATGCACTGGTTGAGCCCCAACTTTGAAGGGTCTATCAGCTGGTTTACACATGCATGGACATCACTTAACGACTAGGCAAGAAGTGATAATCAAAGAAACAAAATTTTGACACAAATTCAGCTATAAGACACCAAGACATGTGTGTGTGAACCATTCATAAATTTCTTAGGCATCCAAGGAAAGGCATGATTTAGTGCAATTTACGTAAAATCCAAGATATAAAATTAGACCCCAAAGTGTGGTTGTGGTGCCATGTAGTAGAATCCCATATCGACATGATATCTATCATACCACTTTAAACAGCTATGGCTTCCCATGAAGAATTCTGGGAAATTTAGTTTGCTAAGGGTGCTGGAAGAACCCTATTCTACTTACAGAGCTACAATTTCCAGAGTTCCATGGGAAGAGGGGTTAATTCTTAAACCATGCTGCAAACTGTAGCTCTGGGAGAGAAATAGGGGTCTCCTAACCATTCTCAGCCCCTTAGTAAACTACATTTCCAAGGGTTCTTGGGGGTTCTTGACAGAAGGAGCCCGGGTCTACCCAGAAATAAGCCCCACTGAGTGAAATGGGACTTATTCCTATAGGTTAACACTCTATTTCCCAATAAACTGAGTTTTATATTCCTGATCAGCTCTCTATCAGATAAGCACAGTCGTACCTTGGTTTTCAAACAGCTTAGTGCTCAAACGTTTTGGCTCCCGAATGCTGCAAACCCGGAAGTGACTGTTCCGGTTTGCAAACTATTTTTGGAAGCCAAACGTCCGACGGGGATTTCGATTGGCTGCAGGAGCTTCCTGCAGCCAATCTGAAGCCGCACTTTGGTTTTGGAAGTCGAATGGACTTCCGGAATGGATTCCGTTCAACTTCCAAGGTACGACTGTGTCTAATTGCTTATTTTCTGCCAAAAATACAAGGGCTTCTTGATGCAGGCATGAGCAGTGAAATCTTGTGGGCACAAGATATAATGGTACAGCCTCCATGAATAGGGATTAGAGTAGTCACTATTATATGTTTCTGGTCTGCCAACACCAATACCTTGTTATGAGATTGCCATGCATGTTCTTCTGAATGCCAATTAATATACTGTGGCATGCAATTCTAGCCATGGGATACAGAATCACATGCAGAAATGTGCAATGTTTTATGATACATATGTTAAAATTGAAGTGATTTCCGCAGTTGCAGTTGCTTAGAAGTGCTGCAATCATGTCAATTACCATATGGTGAAAGCGTGTAGCGCACACACACTTATCCACATACTTTGGTGCTTAAATATGGGATCATGCAGAGAAAGAAATGATATTCATTTATTTAAGCTAAGATTAGATTTGACCACTCTTTCGGCTAAGACTAGATATGACCGCACTTTGTAACGCTATACGGTGGCTGGCTGACAATATTTGTACAAATGGAAAGTATGAGAAAAGGGATTTTGCTTTGAATGACAAAATGTTTTGTAGTTCAAATTTCTATCTTCCCAGCCTATAAATAAAATGATGCATTACTGCTAAGAAACTAGAACTGCATTAAATCATGTTTTCATGGTTAATGCTTGGTAATAATCACCCCCGGTTTCTGCTCTAAAGACTAAATCATATGCATATATATATTTAAAAGTGCATAATTTGTGATCTCTGAGAAGAAAAAAGTAATAGAGAAGAATTTGCTTACATTATGAAGTTACAAATTGCAGTAGCATATTTTTAAAATACCACATACTTTTATTTTAGCATATTTAAAGCTTAATAATTTAATGATTTATTCAGCTTTAATTTATACCTTCAAAACACTCTGAGATGCCACTGGAGATCATAACAGTGGTCCTGGTTAAGTCAAATAATAATTAGAGCTTTCACTTTAAAGATGAGATTATTTTTTAATTATTGAGTGAAGTACTTGAGGTACCATACTTATATAATTACACTACTCATTAAATGGTTATTGAAAGCTGAAATGTAATTTTAATGACAGCTACCTATTTTTCTTTGCACACTTTGTAGATGACAGATCAGTCAAGAATACTGGTTTGCTCAAAATTTCTTGCAGCTGCAGTAGAGCTTTCAGGTGTAGAACAATTAGGCTGTGCTTATTTTAAAACTTTTTTTAAAAAAATGCTCTCTCAATTAAGCGGTATTTTTATAAAGTGCAGAAATAGTGAGGAAAATAAATTGCCATCAAAGATGGTAAAGAAGATTCTGGTAAGTGGATATTTTTCCCCTCTCTGTAGCAACAGTAAACATGATATTCAAATGTGGTTGCTAATATGTACTGCTTTTGAATCATGGCCTTTAGAAGAAAATTGCTGAGGTCACAAGGTAGGGTATAAATTCAATTAACAACAACTTGGAGGCCAGAATACACATATTATTAGAATATAGCACATTTACTAATTAAAAAAAAAATCAGCAATAATGATAACAGATATTTCCCTCAAAATATATCACCCACCAAAAAATAAAAAAATAAGATAGTGGTGCCAAATATAAAAAGCTTCAATATACAACACTATTCCATATACTGTAATATGTCCCGTGATTTTTACCTCCTTATATAATACTACTAACATAGTAGTAAGGAGACCCTTTATGTAACAGAGTTTGATTTTTTTTAAAGACTTATCTAAGATAAATAATGTCACTGTTTACAGAATGCTTTTCCACCATTTCAAAGATAAGAATACAATGCAAAATTAATGTTTTCTTTTTTGTTGTAAAAAAACAAACAGAGAAGTAAATTTATTTCATTAACAGTATTAAAGAAAAGATTTCTGGGTTTGCTGTATGGGAAAAAGGCATTTAAGTTTAGAGAAGGGAGCAACTGCTTTGTTCCTCCAATCCCCCTGTTGAAATTAATTATAGCAAATGTTTATGAAAACATCTGTTCCATACAGTTATAAATTCTTAATTTTAGTACGGACAATTTCAGGTTCTTCCAGTTTTGAAGCAGTACAGAAACAATTTCAGGGTATACAGAAAACAGACAATTTTTACTCCTGAAGCTCATGTGTATGAAATCTGCAGAATTTGAGCATCTCTTTAAAAGAAACCCCACACAAAACAGAGTGAGTCTTTTTCAAAGGCTACAACAAATGAAAATATCGCCATTTGATGAACGCAGTAAGATAGAAACTAAAGCTTGATTTAGTTAAAAAATGTAACTTTTGCTAAATTATGCAAGCGACCAAGTACATATTTGAAAGATCTGCGTCAAACATACTTTGATAAATTTGATAGCTATCCGGTTGTTAAAGAAGATAATACACTTGATATTGCTTGTACATGACAACAGAGGGTGCTAGAGAGTTTAAGATCAATAAGATCCTGTGCCATAAGCGCTCCTTTTGGACTTTTTACATAACACCCTTGCAACTACAGTGTTAAATTCAATTTACACCAACTAAGCTTTTAAAATGATTAAATGGAGCAAGCTCGAAGCAGTGTACAGAAACTGAATATAATGCCTTCAGCTAAAGAATTAAGTGCACTGCACTTCTGATATTTATAAAATAATTATTAGGCTGCAAAAAATTGAAGTACATTACACTCCAAGGGAGTTGCTGAAGTTTCCCAAAGTGAAAATGCAAAATATATTTCAGAATTTTAAAAGGGGGAAAAATCATTTAAGTGATTACTGTAGTGTAATCTGTAAAGACAACGGTTTGCTGCTGTTGGAAGTTTAAATCTTATCTTATTTGCTAATTGAAAAAACACAAGCTATTAATAATCAGGACCCTATGACATCATGGAAAGGTTGCAATTCTACATGAAAACAAACACAGATATAATCAAGTACCAAAGTTTCAGGCAGGTTTTCAGTAACATAGCATTAAATTCATATAAGACAGCACTGTATTTGAATACTACAAAGTTTGAAAGCTACAAGCAAGGCAACTGTAGTGAGATATATATATATATGGGCACCCAAGAATTAACTTCCGAAGTTCAGAAGTTTCATGCTCATTACAAATCCAAAATCACTCTACAGTGCATGTCTGGCAGTCCTAGCTACAGATGCCCATTTCTCTTCCAGTTCAAATCTACTGGGTAGCGGCAGCAGCGGCAGCAGAGAAGAATGGCTTGGAGGCCTCCAGAATGCAAAGAGGAAGAACTTTCAGTGGGATTGAGTTCTTATTAAGGACCCTCAGAAACTTCATTTCCCAGGGGCCTGAGGCCTGAGGTTCTGATGCAGCGTTCTAGGGTGTAATAAAAACTCTGGCTCCAGCCATCCTTATTGCCTCCTTAAATTTGAGGGGTTTGTGAAGGGGGTTGCAAGTCTTTGAGGTCCACAGAGGGGTATGGCTGGTTTAGGTCGTGCTGCAAACGAAGACATTAGGAGTATGGCTGGAGATGAACTTGGTTATTTCATATGGATAATTTTTTGATTGGAGGGGAACACTTCCTTCTCAAAAGCTAACACAAAACTACTTTTTGAGCCACCCAAAAGCCCAAACAGCAATATAGGTATTTTACAATTTAAAATAGTGCTGAAGTGAAATGCTGTGTGTGGGAGGCGGTGAGGCTGCCTGAAACAAAAAGCGGGTGAAAATATTTGCACCTTCATGCTTTAGTGCGGCAACACTTGCTTCTCGATCTATAGACGCCTTGTCATAGTGGTTGGTTCCTGCAATAGTTTTTTTGGGGGGTGGGAATCAAAACTAACAAACGTACAACAAACTTTAAAAACAGAACACATGGCTGAAGTTCACTTCTTGAAATACAGTCTGCTTTTCATAACAAAAAGGTAGAAGTTCAGCTTCTAGCTTACTCTGTGAATGAAAAATTGGTCTTGACTAACTCAGTTAAGACAGTTAATATCTTCATTTGCACAATTTTAAGTAAAATATGTTTTCATCAAGCACTACTGCAGCACACACTGTGAAGCTGAAAAACCTGGATCATTATGGTAATTGTGTCAAGCAAGAAGACAATGGCTGCAATTCTATACACACTTACCTGGGAGTAAGCCTAAGTGCATTCAATGGTGCTTACTTCAATTGTAGACATACCTAGGGTCACACTGTAAGCATGTGAACTATGAGCTGCCGTTGTAAAAAAACAAAAAAATATTCTTTGTAAGGAGCTGCTATTAGTGCAGTGCAAATTAGAGTAAACAAGGGTGCACGGCAGTTTGTGGAAATTTTCCTTTGAAAAATACATAAAATTGGAGGCAATTGATAACCAACAAATAGTGAAGTGTTTACAAAGGAGCTGGGGCCTGATCTGAAAACAAACAAACTTTTCTGGCAGAGTACTAATGTGTAATATTATTGTAATAAAAATAAAATCAAAATTAAATATGAAATAAATGCTCAAAGTGTATAAATGCCTCTACTCCTCTGACTGTTATTATGTCCCCCTTCCAAAAGGATTAAAAAAAATCAATTTTGGGAGAGAGAGTAAAAGATGCCAGAGGGTCACCTGTCCTGCTGGAAATGCTACACAGATTGTCAGTGCCTACTGGGGAATAAAGGGGCTCAGAGTCTGGTCCATAGTTCCCTAGGAGGAACAAACACATTGAGTGTTATTTGCCACCATATGGGCAGCCTACCACAGCCCACCAATCTTAATTGGAGCTCTTTGGTACTCCAAGTTGAGGTATTTTTGTTCCTGGAGATGGGGTCAAGGTAGCAGCTGGTCAAGAGCTGGGTGTTCAAGCAAAATGGAGTCAGTAGACCTGCATGAGGTGTACTGCTCTCACCTCAATTATGCTTGCAACCATTTGAGCAGGAGTGTCCTTATAACCTGAGCACTGCTGCCTTCAGTTCTCACCCAATCTTTAATTTTATTGAATTCATGAAAATGAAAATAAACGTTATACAGATATGAATAATTCCCTTGTTAAAATTGCCAAATGCATTTTGACAGTATGCATTCATACTGCAGCTTAATTCATACTGGAGCATTCTTCAGCAGTTTAATTGATCTTGAATGTCAACTTCAGACCACACAGTCAGGGTTTTCTATATCATAAATTCAAATTTGTAATATCAAATTTAAAAAATCTCTTTTTAACACACTACAGATAAAGACTCTCAGCATACTTTAGTATGTACGGTATATATAAAACATGCCTTTACCCAAGATTTCTTCAGTCTTGTAAAAAAATAAAATTAAATCACATCATTTAGCTGCTTATACAACAGACCCTCTGCTTGACAAGGTCTTCTTCCCTGCCATAGGTTCACATGACTGTATTCAATTCAATTTCAGCTTGGAAATCCAGAATAGTTCTAGCTAACCCAAGTCAGATGCTCTTGGAACTAATTCATGTAATGCTAAACCATAAAGTAAAGGTAAAGGGACCCCTGACCATTAGGTCCAGTCGTGTCCGACTCTAGGGTTGTGCGCCTATCTCACTTAAGAGGCCGGGGGCCAGCGCTGTCCGGAGACACTTCCGGGTCACGTGGCCAGCGTGACGAAGCTGCTCTGGCGAGCCAGCACCAGCGCAGCACACGGAAACGCCGTTTACCTTCCTGCTATAAAGCAGTACCTAATTATCTACTTGCACTTATGGGTGCTTTCGAACTGCTAGGTGGGCAGGAGCTGGGACCGAAGACGGGAGCTCACCCCGCCGCGGGGATTCGAACCGCCGACCATACGATCGGCAAGTCCTAGGCACTGAGGTTTTACCCACAGCGCCACCCGTGTCCCATGACTAAGCCAATAGTTTAGTCTAAATCCTTAAGTCTTTATTCCTTTGGTGCAGTACCTCCCATTCCATACTCTTATAAAGAATTAAAGACAAACTGTTTTGGGCTCAATTTGAAACAGGCATTGCCAAATCAAGCTATTGTCCATTGATCCTACCCTGCCACTAAGTAGAGGTAGCAATAGGGAAGGAAGGGAAGAATGGAGGCTGTGAAGGGAACTCAATATGACCAGACACAAATCTAAAGCACTTTGAGCTCACCTAATACTGGGATGACACTTACGGAACACCCCCAGTTCCAAATTGGCTGCCAATGCTAGACAAACTACCTGACCAGACCCTTCCTTCTGAAAAATTATTCCATTATCTTATTTTACCTTCACAACTTGGCTACTTTAAAATATGGAATGTATTTCTTTAAAAATACAAAAGTTGCTAATGCCAAAAGAGGTACTCATAAAAGCAAATGAAATGAAATAAACAATAACATATTAAGCAAACAATAGCAAGTTAATACAGACCATACAATAAAAAGCAGATAAGGTTGAATACCGTTTGAAATTATCAGAATTAATTATGTTTTGATAACTTTGTTATTATCATAGGAATGATTTGAATTTTAGATGTAATATTCTTAACAATATTTACATATTGAGTGAAGTTTTGAATTTTATTGTAACAATATGATATTGTAAAACTTACACATTAGTGTTCTATTATCAATTTTGGGGAAATATTTTACCCTAACTTCTAGGCAACTGTTGTTTTCTTTTAAATCAATTCTTCTGCCAAATCCACATACTGTTTTTTAAATGCGGAGGGTTTTAAATAGTCATTTATAGACATTGAAAGGGCAGCTTTTGCAAGGGAAACTCAAAATAAAATTGGGTGCGCATGCAGACGGTAGCCTGTGCCCCTCTGGATCTCAGCCTAAATCTGCAGCAGCTGAAGCTAGAAGAATTGTTAAGTGGGAAAGCAAAATTGACATATAGATGTGCAAAATGACAGCTTGTTTGACGGGAGGAAAAATCTAACACAGAGAAGCTGCTGAGACTTCACACGGCTAAAGGAGAAAACATACTACAAGGGCAGAGTGACACAACTTTCTACAAACATTCAATAAGGCGTGTTCTAACATACTTACCCAAAATCTATAATTATTTCTGGATTGATAATTTGCTATTTTAGCAGAAATATCCTTTTGTTGTTGTTCTAATAGCTTCCTATGCATCCCCACCCCCCGAATACAAGACTAGCAAGGCAGCCTAATGCATGATAACCTAGAACCACCACTCTTCCGTGGGTTAGATGCAGGGTAACAGTACAGTGGTACCTTGGTTTAAGAACAGCTTAGTTTATGAACAACTTGGATTAAGAACACTGGAAAGCCGGAAGTAGGTGTTTTGGTTTGTCAAATTTGCCTTGGAATAAGAACATGTTTCGCTTCCTGTTGAGTGTGTTCCATTTGTAAATTGAGTCCTCCACTGCTATGGGAAAGCACGTCTTGGTTTAAGAATGCTTTGGTTTAAGAACAGACTTCCGGAACAGATTAAGTTCGTAAACCAAGGTACCATTGTACAATCTTATACATGTCTACTCAGAACTAAGACAAATTTAGTCAAATGGGGCTTAATCCCAGGTCTGTGTGTGGAGATTCTGGGAAATATCTTAAATTAGAACTGTAAAACAAGTATGGAGAGAGTATAGCTTCCTCAATTTATTACAACAGCAAAATTTGATCAGAGAACTGTGAATTTTAGATTCAGTGCACTAAACCCTCCTCACTGCAGACATGCATAATTACAAGTGGAATTTTCAGGCAATATCTACCTGAAATCTGGCTTCCAATATATTAATCAGAAAAGAAAGCAAAATACAAGGTATTGAAAACTTCTTATAGAAATATATATCGTTATCTTTGTGTCCCGCTGTACTCCAGCTGTGTTAAACAGTCCCCTGCTTTAAGACGTGAACCCATTTCAACTGGACTTTCAGAGTGGCTTGGATCCGAATAAAATCAGCATACAGATGACACGGTGCTCTAAATCTCCTTAAGACCGCCCCCCAATGGCTTCATATAAACGTTGAATAGCACTAGAGGCAAAATAGCACCCTGCAGCACACAGCGTTCCAACTACAAAGATGCCGAAGAATGCTACTCTCTGAAATGGACCTCCTAAGCAGGAGCACCACCACAATAAAACAGTGCCCACTCACTCCAACTAATGGAAGAGACACAGATGTGTGCCATGGCTTATGCTATCAAGAGCCATTAAGAGATGAAGCAGGAGCCATAGGGTCATACTTCCCTTTTCCTTCTCCAGAAACCAGACCCTAGTAACCTCTAGGTGAGATTACTCTAACTTGCTATTTAAAAAGCCTCACAGGGCCTGCTGCTTGCTTCTTTTATTCAGAAACATCTGAAGATGAACATACAAAATGCCTTTAAAGTAGGGTTAAAATATAATATTTATTAATTTCTTAGGTTAAAAAAATTAAAATATTTTTCTAGTCTAAAATAGTACCCCCAGTTAATTGGGAAGCAGGTTAATTTTTAAAATTATTTTTAATATAATGCTTACCAAAATTATAGATGGTGAGGAACATCTTTCAAAAGAAGCTTTCCATCATTCAATTATACATTGTGTAATGTTGAAACAAAGTTTGTTGTTTTCTTTAAAATTACTATTTTTCATGTGCAAATTTAATCAATTAACAGATTAACTGACTAAAACTCATATAATTAATCAACTAAGATTTATTTAATTAAGTGGAAGCTCTACTTTTTAATTTTGTTGATTTTTTCCCCTTGCTGTATGTTAATATTTTAATTTACAATATTAATAAATGTGGTTGCCTTAAACTTTAAAGCTATTATTTGTTATTTTTAATAAGTTACCTTAAGAACTAAATTCAGTTCAAAGACTGCTAAGAAAATTAATAAATAAACTTTGGCTCTGTCAAATTAATTAGGTTAGAATCAATCCTAGTGTTTGGTCTGCTGTAGACAATGTGTGCATGATAGAAATGATATGCTCATCATCAAACCTACACAAATGTTGCCCAACCTAATGAATCATCTGAGTAAGCAAGACAGTTAAACATTTCAAAAATTCATCTGGGACCCGAACTGATCTGCCATTCTGATAATTGGTGGTTAGCTAGGAAGGAAACATGAGATGTGTGTATTACTGCATAGTTTGTAACTCTAACATAAAGTGTTTTTGTACACATTTATTCTGATTCAGCAGTTCCCTGCCACAAAGCTGTGTCACTCCCAAGGTCTTCCCCATTAACTGCAAGAAACGGGTGGGGGGGTACAAAACTGCCTGTCATTTAAATTAATCAGGATACCAACTCACGCTGAAAATTTGTTTGCTCACCTACAAAGATTCCCTTGTCCTCACTGCTCCATCGTTCAATATATAGCTCTCAACAATAGAATGATCTGTCAATTTCACTTCTCTCTGTTTCTCTTTTTCCCAATCTTAAATTAAATTATCCACATTTTGCAGCTATTTGTGATTTTTAAAAAAATCCTTATGAAAATTCATCAGCATTTTAGTGTGATTTTCCTCAAATAAGCACTTTATATGCAATTTTGACCAATGTACACATTTTGCTAACTATTTTTACTAGTACAGTGGTACCTCAGGTTACATATGCTTCAGGTTACATACACTTCAGGTTACAGACTCTGCTAACCCAGAAATAGTACCTCGCGTTAAGAACTTTGCTTCAGGATGAGAACAGAAATCACGCGGTGGCAGCAGGAGGCCCCATTAGCTAAAGTGGTGCTTCAGGTTAAGAACAGTTTCAGGTTAAGAACGGACCTCCGGAACGAATTAAGTACTTAAGCTGAGGTACCACTGTATTACTTTCGTGTAGTAACAACAACAACTTTATTATTTATATGTTGCCCATTTGACAGATTTCCAGAACTCTGGTAGTGGCATGAGACCAGACCAAACTGGAAGCAGTTCCTATGTCAAAGAGATATGCTTGGATCCTATAGTAACAGGAGATTTGAATGGGGGAAATAGTTCAGTGGCAGAGCATCTACTTTACATGCAGAAAGTCACAGGTCCAATCCTCAGCATCTCCAGGTAGAGACCCCTGTTTGAAATCAGGAGAGCTGCTGCCAGTCAGTATAAACAATATTGAGCTAGATGGATCAGATGAAAGGAGGACAAATCATAGAGAGCAGGAAGAGGGACATCAGTATATTTTATCCACAGAAATAAAGAGATTCTAGCCACCATGGACATTTGCATTGAGAATAAGAAAGAACTTCCTAACTAAAAGAACAGTAGCACAAAAACTGTTAGGGAGTTTTTCACATTTGCTTTCCTGCAGCAGATGTTGGCCAGACATCTGTCAGGTAGGTTTTAGACCACTAAGCCCCTTAGGCTTGCTGACCAGAAGGTTGGCAGTTCGCATCCATGTGACAGGGTGAGCTCCCGTTGCTGTGTCCCAGCTTCTGCCAACCTAGCAGTTCGAAAGCACACCAGTGCGAGTAGGTAAATAGGTATCACAGCAGTGGGAAGGTAAATGGCATTTCTGTGTGCTTTGGCACTTGTCACAGTGTTCTGTTGTGCCAGAAGTGGTTTAGTCATGCTCGCCACATGACCTGGAAAGCTTTCTGTGGACAAACACCAGTCCCCCTGGCCAGAAAAGCAAGATGAGTGCCGCACCCCAGTCGCCTTTGACTGGACTTAACCGTCCAGGGGTTTTTTGTTGTTGTTGTTGTTTAGTCGTTTAGTCGTGTCCGACTCTTCGTGACCCCATGGCCCAGAGCACGCCAGGCACTCCTGTTTTCCAATGCCTCCCGCAGTTTGGTCAAACTCATGCTGGTAGCTTCAAGAACACTGTCCAACCATCTCGTCCTCTGTCGTCCCCTTCTCCTTGTGCCCTCCATCTTTCCCAACATCAGGGTCTTTTCCAGGGAGTCTTCTCTTCTTATGAGGTGGCCAAAGTATTGGAGCCTCAGCTTCAGGATCTGTCCTTCCAGTGAGCACTCAGGGCTGATTTCCTTAAGAACGGAGAGGTTTGATCTTCTTGCAGTCCATGGGACTCTCAAGAGTCTCCTCCAACAGCATAATTCAAAAGCATCTTCGGCAATCAGCCTTCTTTATGGTCCAGCTCTCACTTCCATACATCACTACCTGGAGCAGGAACCAGCAAGCCACTCCAGTATCCCTGCCAAGAAAACTCCATGGACAAAGACAACAGCGGTCTTTTACCTTTTACCTTTAAGATGTTTCTGAGCAATGAGACTTACAACATGTCCCACTGGATCTTTTCCATTATAATGATTTGGTGAAGAGATCTATGTATGGAAGTGGTGTAGAGAAGATTTCCGTCACTAAGAAAGTAATTTAGCAATGTGGCCAGTAAAATCTAATAGTGTTAAAAGAGGCAACCTTGGAAATTCAGGATAAGCATATATTTTTTGCTGTTCCAAGACACAGCCAGAAACAGGAGTATGATGAAACCAACATATTACTTCTTGCGTAAAGGGCTTAAATATAAACCAGCTATAAATAGAGTGTTCATACTGCAATACCATGCATGAGCCTTGAGAGAATTTCAATATTTACTTACAAAGGTCTGCCTCAGGATCTCTAGCTATATTTTACATGGTACCTATGCATCAGCACAGTGATCATTTTGCAGACAAAATCAATTTCCTAACAGAAATATTTATCCTAATGATAGAATGTCTATATGCCACCCAGCTATACTTTACACAGAACTGAGCTCCCTCAGGCATTCTTCCGTGCCAATGCTAATTTTTTATCTGTTAGAAAGTTCCCTTAAGCTTCTTTTAACATCTAGTGGACATGGCTTCATAAAATTTAATGCTGTTCATTAACCCCAAGCACTTAACTTTGCACAGTAATGTCAGGCATCTGACTTTTCAGTGCATGAAAAATCCAACTGGGAATTGTTTGAGAGATATAAATTACAAATTATCTATTTAGCATAAAATAAGGCAAAAGAATCAATTGGTAAATCAACATTATTTTAGGGGTGGGGAAACAAGAATTCTGACATTCAGTCTAAACAAATAGTTTCACACAAAATCGTGATGAATTTACATTAGAATAAAAATTACAGTTACAATCAAATCCCCTACTCTACCTAGATGGTCCATGTAGCACATGCCATTTAAATCTTTTAATATTCTTAAAATACATTGAGTTCTGATACTTCTATAAATAATTAGAAATACTGCAATTTGATAAACCTTTTATTTAAAAGATGTTTTGAAAGGGGCAATAAGGAAGTTTGTTTTAGTGAAAATCAGTTCTCTTGGTGGTGTTGTGCAAGACATGTTAGGCATTCTGAAGACATAAAGGTATTAAATTTTGATGTTTTACTCTAGCAAGGGCTGACCTCTGGTAGAACTTCCTCTTTAGTGAAAACAAGTGGAGATGTGAGATCATACGTGGAAAGAAAGTATTCACCATTTCCCCCAGCTGCCAATAATCTTAATTTAAGATTGAAGCTGCTGGAATTGTTGTTGTTGTTACCTATCCCTTACCTCTCAAGGCTGTGAAAATAGCTTAAAAACAGTTCAAAACAACACAGAAAGCTAGTTTTTACTAAGTCAGATCATTGATCTAGCTAGCTCAGTATTGTCTATGCTGATTGGCAGCTACATTCTAGGGTTGAAACAGCTTTTCCTAGCCATATCTAAAAATGTTGGGTATTGAACCTAGAATATTCTGCATACAAAGCATGTGAAGTGCCACTGAGCTACACAAACTTCCTTTTAACCAGATCTTGGTCACATCTGTTTTAGTTATTTAAAGTATTTATAGCCTGCTGCTCATTACAAAAAAGAAAAGAAAAGCATCCTAGGGCAGGTTACAAAATTTAATCCTTAAAACATAATCAAGCAAAAAATGAAATAAAACAAAACAGCAATAAAACAGTAAAAAAATTATCAGGGCAAATTAGCAATTTGTGTACTATCTACTTATAAAGATGGACAGAGGCTGCTATATTCTTGTTGCAAAAGCGTTTCAGAAAACTGTTACAGAACACTGTCACCTGAAGAATTTAATACTACCCTATACCTCACCAATTAAAAAGTTTTGGGGAAAACCTTAACAACTCATACACATTAAGATAAAACTATATGATCATATGGGCAAAATATGTTTACACATCATTTCAACACAGAATCCTAGAAATGAACCGGACCACGAGAGTCATCTAGCCCAATCTTTTGCCCAACCTGGGGCTGGAACCCACAACCCTGAGATTAAGAGTCTCAAGCTCTACCAACTGAGCTACGATTCAGGGCTATGTAAAAACAATCTTCCTACAAAGATGGCTCTACACTTGTGTTCCAGGAGGAGGCCATCTTCCCTACAGACAGTTCAATTCATCTTACAAGTGACAGTCACACACGCACACAGATGTGAAGGAAAGATTTACAAAGTTATTGAAACTTTTTAACAAGTAAAGTGCATCTTTACTTAGCTACACCAGAATGAGGAATAAAGGGGTTTACATATGTTCCAATTCTAAACCTATCAATCAAACCCATGTTATTCCTTTGGGAGCTTATTTACATGCATATTTATCAGCCTCACATGCTAATTCCCTGCTGTTTTATGCCTGCGAGGCATGTTTATGAGTCATAATTGTTGATCTCATTTGATGTATTTCACTGAAGTAAGACATTATTCAGTTATGTGGCCTAATGTCAATGAATTACGATGACCTGATCTTCCAAATGCAACTTGCTCTTTAATTTTTATTAGAGCATAACTTATGCAGATGAAAAAAATACATTAAAATGGAAGATCAGATGAACCTGCAGTTGTGTTAGTTCACCAGCCTGTCCTGATGCAATTCTTCCTTCAGTCTCTGTCCAAATGGACAGGCTGTCACCTTTAAAACCTCCCTTTGGAATAATGCTAATTTTATTTTTTTATTTTAAAATCTGATGTAAATGTCTATGAGAGAGAGAACACACACATACCCTAACTCTACTGTTTTCTGAAGACTTCATTTTGCACGAAGCATATTTTTAGAACCTCCCCCATGAGTTTTGAACATCTGATGTTAGCAGAAGTGGCACAGTACCTTTTCTCTTTTTCCGCGTCATACTCACCAAAAATGCCGTTCCAGGCAATTGTCTGGGAGCCAAGCATGGGTTCTTAAATTACTTTAGCTGCGCAGGAGTTTCTGCAATCCTTCTTCTTGCAATGCACGGGTAATATAAAAGCCCCAAGCCATGTGAGATGACAGCCTTAACAGAGCTCTTCTGTATGCTGACACCAAAACAATTTCTGGAATGTTGATATTGGAGAGGGAAGAAGTCACTGGTGGGCTTTTCCCCATGCGTGGTCCAGGACTTTTCACATTATTTCCATCAGTGCACAGGAACAGCCATGCAGTGGCTCCTTTGCCACTGGACGTAAGTATGAACTATGGTCTAGAGATTTGGTTTCTTTTTAGAATCAAGTGGGGTATAAATTTTATGAAATAAATAATAATAAAAATAATTAGTCCACAATTCAGTATTGAGAGGCAATAGAATCTGAAAATGCTAAGAGTGAAGTGTAGAGCTAGTTTAGGCTTCAGGTTGTCCTGCACAAACAGAATACCTAGCACATGCTGGTATGTTAGTCTTCTACTTTGAAATGATCCCTTTTTAAAATTTAGGGGAAAATATTTTTTTGGGGGGGGAAATGCCGTTTGCAGTCCATCCTGCCACTTCATTCTCACTTCATTCTGCTGCATATGTGGTCCTGGTCTAAGTTGTACAGAATAAGGTGGCCAAATTCTGATTCATGCTACTTCAGACAGAAAATGGGAAATCACATTTCTGAATACCATAGTTCCTCACATAAAATTCTCCTTCTACACAGAAAACTATCACATCTTGGTTTAAAACAGTCCGGGAGCTTTTACTTGCATTCTAGAATATAAGTACCAACCGCAATGTGAAGTAATTGACAATTTTACAACCTCATTCTGCAGAACTTGTAGCTCTGCTTCTGCCCTGTGAATGTGGTGGTCCTGCATCTTGCCAACAGTAATGCCTAAAAGTTGCTATTGGTGCTAAATTAAGTGCCCAGTGTCACCTCAAACACTTACAATGTACACTCTGAAATTAGTTGTAAATATACCTGCAAAGACAACATATCTATTTATGTATTGCATGTAATGTGTAGGGACACATAACCCTGAAACTATCTTTACCCAACTTTCCACTATAGTGAAATTTTCCATTATCAACAGATGTTTATAATGGTGCTGCTCAAGGACATCCTGTACTGAAACAGAAGGTCACTGTACCCCCATGTGCTAAGCTAGAAATTTGGCATTGAAAGCAGAGGGGCAAGATGACAGTTGAGGGGGCAGGGAGGTTGTGGAATGATGACATACTGTCCCAAGTGGGGAGGCGGAGAAGTAGAAGTCTGCACATTACGAATCAGTAATTGTGGATTTAAATAAAAGAAAGTGCATGTGAAAATACTTTGCATAATCAAGTTACATCTGAAAATGATTTACTGGAATGGGCCACGATCCAGAGATACCTATGCCCAAAGCCCCATTCAACAGATGGCTAGCGTTTTCAGCTTTGACTACACCAATCACCCGCTGGAAGCAGGCCTAGTCCCACCATCTTTCCACCTTTCCAAATAGGTGATCAGCACCATCTGTTCACTACTGACCACAAGTCTTTGATCCAGCAACAAGAATGGTGTGTGCAGCCACCCACCCACCCCACCATGCCCAGTTGGCATGATGGAGTACTACCTATATATTTTTATTAGCAATGTTTATAAAATAAAGTGAAGTCGTAATTAATACACCACCTATGCAGAACATATTATACATCAATCTAGCAATAAGGGGGAAAGGGCAAAGAAAAAGTAAATGCAAAGTTTTGGAATTACCATAATTAAAACATTACCAGTTCTGCGTAATTCAGTGCACTGGAATACTGAGATATAAGGAAAAATATGGTTTGTGTGTATCCAATCTGTAAACTCCAAAGGAAGTTAAACTTTTCTCTATTTTTACTAATACTGCTTTTTCTAATTATTTAATTGTTGTTTTAAACTGAATGATTATGGAAAAAGATGTGTTTGCCACTTCATTTCTTTTATAAAGGTCTTATAGTTATTTCTGTTTACTTTTTAATTCAAAAATTTAAGAGGTTTGTTAAGAAGGGGGAGGAATCATAAATCTGTCCATTAGTAGGCATTTCTACCTTGCGCTCAGATGAATTCTCATCAAATTTGATTTGCTGACTGGTGGCCAGAACAGATGTTATCTTAATGGAAGAGAGAAGAAAATTAAGTGTGTTGAGCCACTGAGCCACTTCTGAATTTCTATGGCTCAGTTTGTAGTCCTTCTAAGTTGGAAAATATTAGCATGTTCTTTTCACAATGATCTATTAAGTCCACACCTAAGACTGTATGAATTACATTTTATTTTTTTATTTACATTTATTTACATTTTTATTTAGTATATGGCATATGGTATTGGAAACTGAATGGCAGTGTACTTAGAGTCTAACTATATGCAATCGTGTTTTATAATAGAGGTTACTGTCAAACAAATATTAAAATGGGGAGCAGAGAGCATCTTCTGTGCAGAGAAGAACAGGCATAAGGGGACTGCTGAACCCATCTACAATTTCCCTCTCCTTTGGCTGCACCCTGAGATTGGATGCAAATCCTCCTGGGAGAAATTCAGTTCTGATGTGCACATTTTTGTGGGGGTTCAGGCATAGCAAGCACTCTGGCCTCACACATTTGGACCCGCCTGCATTTTCTAAACAAAAATGGTTGCCACTCTCTCATACGCTTGTTTGGCATGAACATATTCTTAACATGTGGGATTGTGTTGCCATCATATCTCATTAGACTTTTGAGCTTCTAATTTTCCCATAAAATAGGCACCACCACCCAGTCCAGCACTTCTGATTTTCACACAGTGATTCATGGGAGCAGGGTCTTGCTGATACATTTCAACACAGAAGATTCTGCTCATGGCATGAAGTCTTCCTGGTCACTCATATGAACTGGAAAGCAGCTACTCCTGCAGACATTCATGTGCAGACAGTAGCCCCAGAGAACTTCAGACTGGGTCTATCATCTTTCTGCTGCCAAAACCAAACTAGAGACTTCAACAACATAGCACATTTAAATGAGTAGAGCTCTTTATAGAGAAATACATAACTGCAGTCAAAATTCAAACAACCAAAACTTTGCTGTAAACAAGAATTTGATCTACCGGTTTTTATCTTGTGATGCTTCGTTATGTATTTTGTTAGTGTGTGTATGTGTAGAGAGAGAGAGAGAGAGTACAATTGTAAGCTCACCTTGGAAGCATGAATGAATTCTTAGATTAATAAGCATGAATGATAAAACTATGAAAGATTTAATACTGTAAGAACAACTGCTAAAGACCAATGTTTGGGTGACCAAATGGTTCTCATCTTTCCTTTCCAACTGTTGTTTGTCCTTGTGCGTGTTAAGGGAGTCTTAAAAGTTCGACAAATCTTAACAGGAAAAAATATACTATTATACTATTATGTTGCTAGCCATACATTTCACACACAGAGAGCTTTACTTTTCTCTTTCTAATTTTAATTGTATAGATTTCTAGATCAGAGAAGCAAAACCATCATGAAGTAGAATGGGAACAGTAATTAAGTAAACTTAAGTAATCCAACCTTTCATCCCCTGGCCTTTTCCCTACATGAAATGCAACTGTTAGAAATTTCCCAATTAATTGTACAGAAATTTCTTTATAGCCATTAGCTCAGATAACAAACTAGCCCAAGAGGTCTGCTCTGGGAGTCACTGAAAAACATGATGATGTGCAGGCAAGTGACAGTTCCATTATGACTTAACGGAGGAGTCCTCACCCTTTTGGGGCCATGGCTGTGGGTACCACAAAATGCTCATGTCAGACAATCTACAGCTCAGACAATCTACAGCTGTCCCAATACAGAAAAGAAAGCACTCCTCCCCCAAAAAGCAACTCCCACCCGCCAAAAAACAAAAATCCTAACCTCCTAACTTTAAAAAAAATGTTAAAAATTGGGATGGGTAGGGAAATATTGGAAGGCGCCAACAGAGGTGTATGAAAGGATCCTGTTTGGGAACTCAGTCTTAACATAGAAGGTTTCTTGGTTTCCTCGATAACACAGTGCCTCAGCTATATACAGTAAGCTTCTTGGGGAAGTGACCTCCACAAGCAGAACAGGACTTCCTTTCTATTGCAGCCCCCACCCCCAAAATCTGCACAGGAGGTTGGGGTTGGGAGAACCTCTAAAATAATTTGGAGGGCACTAGAAGCATCAGTGACAGAGGGATAAGGGAAATCCCTATCATGTGCCCTTGTGCAACAATGGCTATTGCCCACCGTTTTCATTTTAATACTTTATTATCACCTTGCTTGTAAAAAAAAAAACAAAAGTAGAGAATGATTTACATTGGGGTATTTTACACTAAAATTTTACCCAATTATTTTGCATTTTTTGTACCCAATTATTTGCAACCTGGAGAATATGCGGGGCCTGTGAGCAAGTCCTGTTCGCTAGCCTGAAAGTTTCAACTCAAGAACCTGGTACAAAACCTTTATAACAAACTGCAGTGATAAACATCTGTCCAGGCCTCACCCTGCTGCAATTTGTTCTTCAAGACTGAAACAACATCTTATTAAATACATATGATGACCATTTCACATGGGGGTTCTGTACTACAAACAGAAAAGCAGATGCACATGTGCTACATGAATTGCTCAGGGTAAAAACCAAAACCCTTTTTGAATCTGAAGATTTGATTGCAACATTGGCATGGGAATCTGCTGCTCAAAAGAAACACACACACTTCATAAATCCCACTGGACAAACTAGTGTCTAAGAATGAACTGTGTGCTAGGAAATTCCCACATCAAATCTCATCACAGATATAAGGGACTTGTTGGACTTTAGGCACCTTCCCCGCCCTCTGCACAATATATGAAAATAAAAATAAGGTAGTTATCAATAAAGTGTTATATAAATACTAAATATGGCAAGTAGTCAACATTGTTCTTTCCCAGCCTTAACTTTTTAAAAGCTCCAATTCAATGCTTTCCAGCAGAGCATACTCCTATATTTAATAAAACTCTTACTGTTTTTGACTTAATCATTCACAGCTCAAAAACTATGTTGGCATGCAAACTTAAATTTTCACATTTACACATCACTTTGAACCATAGTTAAAATAAACTTAATGTTAGTGCACAACCTGCTTGTGAAATCGTGGTTGCTTTGCTTCTTCCCTGCTCGCTATCCCTATCACTGTGCTGGAAAACAAGCCTTGGTCTGGCTTAAGTGTTACATCTGAATCTGGGCTTCTGAATTGTTTCTCCAGAAACCAGGAAGAGTAATCCAAGAACAAACATTGGTTACTAGTGGTTTCTTTGGAGAGAAATAAACCACGACCCCAGGCCTTGGACATAATGCTAAGCTGGACGAGTTTATCTCCTGGCAGTGTGGAAGGAGCAGGGAGGGAGTAAAGCGACCATAATTACAGCAGTGTGTATAAGCATGCTGCCCATTCTCATTAAATCAAAGTTTATTTAAACTGTGGTTCCAAGTGGTGTGTGAACCAAGCTAATGTAACATATCTGAATAGCAACTCATTTATTTTTGCAAAAATTTTCAGTATGAAAATACATTTGATGGAAATATAGTTCCATCATTTCCATGGTGCACAAGAGGAATGCAGAAGGACATTTTAAACAAACATTGGCACACCTGATAAAATTAGTCGTGTTTGAAAATGCATTGCTTTAAATGCCCATTTTACTGCTTTTAGTAGAAACTTTGCAATTGTTCTGAATGGGTTTGTGATTTTGCCTCATACAGAATGATGGGAAAGAAGATAATCAGAAATTACTTTCATGGCATTATATCGCAGGGCGTTCCTGGTCAACAACTTCGGCTGATGCTCCCCCGAAAAAAACTCAACAACTTAGATGGGTAGATCACTGCCAGTGTTTTTTATAGTGGGAGTAGATCACAGTCTCTTGAAAGCTGGACATGCCTGCATTATATGAATTAAATGTTGTATTTATTATTTTTAAAAAGGAAATCAAGGCAACTCACAATGTACTCGTTCTACAGTTCATATAAATGTTGTAAAAGAGCAAAACCAAAATGCTGGAGATTCTTTATTAATGTATTCCACACTAAACAGCTGAATTGTTGTCACTTAAAAAGAACTCTTATGAATGGAGAGCCACATTCAACTATTTAAACAAGGTAACCAAGATTCAACTTTTGATTCCAGAATTTTAAACAATTCTAGGTTCACGCTATGTTATCCCTTTACCCTCAAGTTTGTCAACATCAGCTAATTGGCTTTTGTTAAACATGGGTATTTCTTTTTAGGGAGATTAAAGATTCTATTAGAACAGTACAAGCCCAAGTAGAGGTGAAAACTATTCAGTGTGGCTATTTCACTTCATTACCAGCTATGTTGTTTAAATTGATACAAATGGTCTCCTTCTGTTTCTGACTGTCGGCTTGTCTGATTAGTCCAACTAATTGTTCGGGCTCGGGAAGATCTCCTATATCTAAATAGAAGATGTGCAGTTTGTAACCTGCTTAATTCGCCTTATGTCCTGCATGGCCCTCAGTATGGTGTTCATTAAAGTATCAGCTGTTTTGTTTGTAGAAATGGCAGTATAAGCACAGGCATATTTTTCTTTGTTAAAAAGGCCAGATTGTCCATAAATAATACACACTGTGTTGAAAAAGGCAAAAAAATCATCAGGTACATATGAAGGTATTTTTAAATGTCCCCAAGTAACACCTCCTCCTACAGCTATACCGAAGACAATGACAGCAATTATATTATATGTATTAGATGACAGAGGTTTAGGACAGAATGAAGCCAACTGGTCCAAATGTTGACATTTGTACTGCAACTTAACATTTAAATGACAAATCTAGAAAGCCTGAGTGTACACACACATTAGGCTTTCTGCTTAGTTCTCCACCCTTCTCCAAACTGGCTGCTGTACTGAAGTGGATTAGCAATTCAGCACTATGTTATTAATGGGTAAACAAAGAAGAAATATATGTTTTCTCAGTATTTCTCTCCATCCAAGCTTCATTCCAGCATTACAGTGGTTATTTTTCTGTACCTGCATATTTTGTACCAGCTCCTGCCAACACAGCAGTTTGAAAGCATACCAGCACAAGTAGATAAATAGGTACTGCTGCGGTGGGAAGGTAAATGGTATTTCCATACGCTCTGGCACTCATCATGGTGTCCCATGCGCCAGAAGCGGTTTAGTCACACTGGCCACATGACCCGGAAAAGCTGTCTGTGGACAAACGTCGGCTCCCCTGGCTTGAAAGCGAATATGAGTGCCGCACCCCATAGTTGAATTCAACTGGACTTAACCACCCAGGGGTCCTTTACGTTCACTTTACTTGAGTTATTTATTTCTTTTAATTTTTTAAAAAATATTTTTTTATAGAAGAATAAACAACCTAACAAAATCTAACAATAAAAAGCTAAATCAATAAAATGACAGTAAAACAACACAATTACAATAGCAGGGGAAGCCAGAAGCCTTTATTAGCAGCCAACGAAAGCTTGGATGAAGAAGGGTATTTTAAATTGCTGGTGTAGGAACCCAATAGTCAGTGCCTGCCTGATCTCCAGGGGAGATCATTCCACAAGGTATGTACCACTGTGTGGTGGACAACTGCAGGCTGCGGTACAGTGAACAGGTCCTCCACAAATCGCTGTGGCTGGGCTGGTCAATACAGGAGAAGATATTCTTTCAGACAACCTGGTTCTGAGCTGTTTGGGGCCTTATAGCTCAGTATTAAAACCTTATACTTGGCTTGATAGTTAACTGGCAGCCACTGCAGTTCTTTCAGAACAGATATTAAACTGAATGCATTTAGGAACTTACCTGCCATTTTCTGCACCAACCTTAAGGGTAGCTCCACAAATGGAGGTTTCTTAGAAAACCACTTCAGGATTTTTTAAAAACTAGTTTTCAATATATGCACAGATCATTAGCTAATTGCTAGAGTGGGTCATAAAAAGCAGGATATTCAAAGTGGGTCTTAAGCTCCTTATCAGAGATATTTGAGACACTGTCAAAGCGGCAAAGGTCCAGGTAATACTGGGGCACAGACTTGCTTAAATTGGCATATATATATATATATATATATATATATATATATATATATATATAATTATAGTGTAATTCTTGAAAAAAAAAATAACAGTGATGCTCATTGTGTTTAATGCTCTATCCAAAAAAGAACACTGTATATGGAAATATTAAAGTGATTACAAGACAAGAGGACAACACTGATTAAGAAGCAAGTGACAGGGACAATTATTACAAGACATAAGTGGAAAAGTGATATGCCAATGGCCTTTGTCACTACAGATCTGTAGCTGTTCAAGTAAAAGCAAACTACACAGAAGCTATTATTAATAAATGACTATTAAAAGCTTGCTAAGTAAGCATCTGGTGTTGGAAGCAGCAGAAGAAAGCTTTGCTGCTATTTAGAGGGAATAAAATATGGCAGACTGGATAAGTTTCAGCAGCGAATGTTCTACACAGCCTGAATTGTTCATCACCATTAGCATCCTATTCCAGATAATATTTTTGAATGATATCCTAAACACCTGCCAAAGCATTAGAATTTCCTGTTTTGCTCAGCATCTATCTACATAGTTGGCTATAACACTTAGTTATTTCTAACCACCACATGATGCAAGGAAATACACCTACCAACATTTGTACCTGGGGTGCTGAAATTATTTATAAAGCATCCACATGGAAGCATGTTCTAATATTCAAAAGGAAAAGCACACATGAAAATAAAGAGTGACAGAAAGACAGGCACGCACACATTGTTCAAGAAGCTAAAGATACCATTATTACAAGACAAAAGTTTAGAAGTGATACACCAATCGTCTTTTCTACACCTCTGGTGTATCACTAAAGCAACACACAGTCTGAGAAGCTTCCATGGAGACTCACCCAGAGATGATGAAATCTGAGATATTTACTGGAATACTCCCAGTGACTGTTATTGATTTCTTGGCTACTCTTGAAAAAGCAATGTCGGCAGTATTTCTACCATTGCTTATAGTTGGGACAGCCAATATGGTGCCCTCCAAATCAATTGTGGCACTGGTAATTGCTATTTTTTGTCCCAGTTGAAGAGGTGCTTCCCTTTGAAGGGATGCCAACCCTGTGCCCCCTTGACACACGATGTGAGATTTTGCAGTGGAGCTGTCAGTGCGTATCAACACGTGGAATGGTGCTGAAGCTGTGCAAAGTGGACCAAAGCCAACCTGGCTGCCCGCAACTTGAGCCAATTGATGGATCACCTTTTTTCGGTTGCTGTCCAAACCCCTTGCACATATTGACCTTGACAATGCCCCCCCCATCCTTGGAGGAATCTACAGGGTATGATCATCAAGAGATGTGGAGCAAGATAAGGGCTGTTCAATCGTGGAATGGACTCTCTTTCAGAGGTTGGCTGGCCATCTGTCATAGATGCTTTGAGATTCCTGCAGTGCAGTGTTGAACTAGATGGCCCTCAGGATCCCTTCCAGCTCTACAATTCTATGATTCTATGCTATGAGTATGCTGATGACACCCAACACTATTTCACCTTGTCAACTGAGCCAAGTGAGGTTGTACCAGTCCTGAATAGTCCCTGGATGCAGTGGTGGGCTGGATGAAGGTCAATAAACTGAGAATGATTCCAGTCTGTAGGTGCTTCTCATGCTCAGATATTAGACATATAGCCTGCAGGTTTATTGTTTTACTGTGGGTTATAGTTTTAATAATCATATATGTGTAAACCAACCTGAGATTAGTTATGATAAAGGATAGCATAGAAACGTACTGAATAAATGAATGATATTCTGGGGATGCTCCGAGATCCAACAGTGTCACTGGAGGCAGCTATAGTTGTTCCTGAATAGTGACAGACTTGCTACCATGATTCATTAATTCCTATAATGCAATGATCTCTTCGTTACAGAGCACATCCTGCCCCTTGATATTGAATTCCTGAGTTGCAACATTTGGGCTAGGAAAATTACATAAAGTCCACTCCACCCCTAATATCTGCTGCATACCTTATTTTAAATAATAGCATAAAACTGAGATGATGAATCTTGGATGCATATGGCACTAAATTAAAATGCAGTCTGTGTTTCACTGTAAAAAAGCCATGAAGATGAAATGGATGCTTTATATAAAATATTTACATATAGAACGTAAAAATGTACTATGGTTGGTAACCTTTATGACTTTGGGGAACCATGTATTTACATATCTCTATCTTCGCATGTGCGTATCTGTGTGTTGTGTATATATTTTTAACAGTTGACAGCTGTTTTAGAGCATACAGAGAAGCCAAGCTGAATGAGGGCCTTGATTACTTCAAGATTAGCTATCTTAAGTTTCTATTCATTTTAAGTGTTGTTAGTGCGAAGAGTCATTAGTCACTTCCTTGTCTCATAGAACATCAGCATACATTTACATTGTTAATGAACATTTGGGGTAAATGAATTAATGGCACTTTTAAACATCAATTCAATACTAATAACTTTGTATGTTGCAGCAATGTTAAGGTTCAGATAAAAACTATAAAGTCTTCTGTGTCTAGGTAACTAATTGCTCAAGGCACGCACACATGCGCACGCACGCACACACACACAAAGTACAACTGATTAAAAATACTTCCCAAAGATGTTAAAAATCATGGTTAAGAACTAACATTTTATTCTATACTATTAATTGATGTAGGCTGAGAAAAACCAAGCAATCATGAACTTTAAAATGTTTCATTAAAATAGCTTCCTAGTATGTCCAAACTTTTAAATATGAATGATACATTCTGTTGGACTAGTGTAATGTAAAATATTTGGATAACCAAATATTTGAGTAACTGTGAACATAATTTACATAAAAGCACATTAATTTTTGAAGACACATTGAATTATTAAGATCACTGATTTTTGATAAGCCAGATATGAACAACAAGGCATGAACAACAAGGCATTTGATTATCATAACATTTCCCCTATTTTTGTGCCCTCGGGGAAGGAACAAGTAGGATAATTCTATCATAATTTCAAAATGTACTTACAGCGGTAGTGGGCTTGTATGGTGGGACCAAGCCACTCTCCTGACACCAGCATAACTGCTGTTTTCCTGGGCAGGGCTATGAGGGTGTACTGGATGAGCCAGTGCTACCAATCTGGCACTCCAACTGGGGCATCTGTGCAGCCCCAACCTCAGCTATGCCTCTGAGCAACAGTGATGCTGGTGAATGGAGGGCCAGCTCTGTGGCTCTGCTCCCCTGCATTAGCTGCTAAATAATGCCAACAAAGGTCCATATAGTTAAATGGTTTTCCCAGTACAGTGGTGCCTCGCAAGACGAAATTAATCCGTTCCGCGAGTCTCTTCGTCTTGCGGTTTTTTCGTCTTGCGAAGCACGGCTATTAGCGGCTTAGCGGCTATTAACGGCTTAGCGGCTTTAAGAAAAAGGAAACAAACTTGCAAGACGTTTCGTCTTGCGAAGCAAGCCCATAGGGAAATTCGTCTTGCGGAACGACTCAAAAAACGGAAAACTCTTTCGTCTAGCGAGTTTTTCGTCTTGCGAGGCATTCGTCTTGCGGGGCACCACTGTAGTGATGTATGAAAGTGAGAGCTGGACCATAAAGAAGGCTGATCACCGAAGAATTGATGTGTTTGAATTATGGTGCTGGAGGAGACAATTGAGAATCCCATGGACTGCAAGAAGATCAAACCTATCCATTCTTAAGGAAATCAGCCCTGAGTGCTCACTGGAAGGACAGATCCTGAAGCTGAGGTGCCAGTACTTTGGCCACCTCATGAGAAGACTCCCTGGAAAAGACCCTGATGCTGGGTAAGATTGAGGGCACAAGGAACAAGGAAAAGGGGACGACAGAGGACAAGATGGTTGGATAGTGTGAGTTTGACCAAGCTGCGGGAGGCAGTGGAAGACAGGAGTGCCTGGTGTGCTCTGGTCCATGGGGTCACAAAGAGTCGGACACGACTAAATGACTAAACAACAACAAATAGCCACAATTATTAAGACCCACATTTGTCCACATTCAGCAACAGAGGCTGAGATCCAACATAGCATAAGTGGGCATCCACTCACACAATGGGGCTTCTCCTTCATTTCCTACTCCATGAAGCAAATTCTGAGTGCACACAGGGGGTTGGAGGGGGAGAAGAGAATTAAAAGTCCTATTACACAAGTAGCCTTTGTATGTTGTGCAGAGTATCTGAAAAGGATGCCTATGCACATTTAGCTACACTTGCATGGACACTCCTTTCCAATGCTTCACTGTAATGTGCTGAGGTCAGGGGGCCAGCCACACTGAGATTGAGTCTCGGGGTGTGTGGTCCTGCTTACCCCTCTAAGTATTGTATATGTATGGGCAGAGCATCTGAAGAACCAAATAGTAGTCAGTAGTAGCAGATAAGTAGGAGGTTCAACTAACAAACTTGCATCATTCAAGGTACTATATTTTCATTGCACTTCTATTACATTTCACCTTCAATTCTGAAAATCTGTGGCCTGAAAATAAATAGTATGCCAATATATCACCATAAATCTAGGTGTGTGGCCACATCAACCTGACCAAATATTATGATCCTTATGGGTCCACTTTCAGGAATGAGGTGAGAGTGAGAGCCTTTTCAGCTGTGGCTTACTATCTCCATGTCCTTGCTGGAATCATCTCTGTTGAACTTAAGAGACTGAAATTACTTCCTTTCTCTTCAGTATTTTTCCCCTGCCCCTCTACATCTTACAGTGTGTTTTTACTACTGCAAGCATTTTAACTGTTTTTGTTTTTATTCTTTCACTGTGCTTTTACTTTGTTGGCGATTCCTGAGTGTTTTTAAGATGTAGTATACAATATTGTTTAGCTTGAGAAACAAATGAACATCACACACAATATATTAGGACAGGAGTGTCAAAGTTGACAGCTTTGATTAACAATTAAAGGTACAAGGAGATTGGAAGGTTCTGCTTGGATTGTGTTAACAATGCCAAATTCAAATTTAATAGGGAATTGCTAAATCTTATTTTACCGAATGAATTACAAAAGCACGAAGAAAACCAAATGAATAATAGGAAACATAAAATAACGACCAGGTTTTGGTAATAAGAAATCGGGAGGGGGGGGGGAGTTAAAGAGCTCGTATTTACATGATTCCTATAGTGGATTTCAATATCACTGTTTTGTTTATGATAAGAAAAGATAAGAGGGAATTAAACATTTGACTAGTGTTTCAGTATGAAAATAGTTGAATGTTTTTGGTTTTCGTTAGGGCCAGAATGATCAACACACACAGCGAAATGTTTCTTAAAACATTTCTGTTCAGTTATGTTTTGTTTGGGGCAGGGGAGATGGAAGACATCATAAACACATAGCCATTCAAAAATTCTCATACATTTTCTAAAATGTTAAGTGTAAAAATGATCAACTCACCTTCATCAGGCTTGTTCACATAACTTTGCAGGGGATCAATGCCTATTTCCTGCTCTTCAGCTTGTAAAGGATGGCTAGTTTCAGTGATGGAATGGTACATATTGACACTTGGCACTTTCAATAAGTAGTAATTACCTGGGTGAATAAACAAAAACTAAAGATTAATCAAAACAGCCTCCTAATTCTATACTGCAATAAGGTAGCAAAGATCTCAGAAAACTCAATATTGTTTAGCTTGTCGTCTAAACATACTATTTTCACTAGTTGAGCAGAAAGGGGGAAGAATATTGTATTATGTGTATCATTATATTTTTCCTCCTGATATAAGAAGTTCTCTTAATATGTAAACTTTCTCCAGCATTCCTACAAATCTGGTGCTCTTTTCTGTTATTTTAACAATGAATGTGACAATGTTTTAATGAATGGGGAAAATATATTGGATACAAAACTCTGTTGCATTCCATTCATTTTTCAGGCATGATAGGAAGCATGTGCTAAAGTTGTTTTATTTTACTTTTAATAAGTTGTTAATTTCCATTTGAACAGTGTTCTTAAAGTAAGCTAACACTTCGTGAGGAAAAAATGCCACTTTTCCTAATAGCGAACTTACTGTGCAGAGTATATTATGATTAAATATTACCTCATTTGCAATAACTGTTTATAAAAAGTTTGCTATAGCAAAGTATGGTGCCCTACAGCAGTTATTGGAATCAACTCCCATTATTCTTGAACACTAACCCATGCTGGTTGGAGCTCTGATTGAAGCTGATGAGAACTGTAGTCTAAGAACATTTGAAGGTTACCATGTTGGCTGCTATATAGGATGACAAATGGCTACCCCAATGTCAAAATAAAGAAGAAATATAATTGCCAAAGTCCTCTCTTAAAAACATTATTACAGAACTACATGCAAAAGGAACAGACAAGATTAAAGTTCCATCCAAAGTAGCAACAAAAAACCAAAAAAGGCTACTGGATAATTATTTTTACATCAGAATTAAAAAAAAAAGCAATGATCAATACCTATTAGCCTAACTACTCTGAATACCAAGAAATTCCTGTGATAATTTTAGTGTTTTAATTTTTAAACAGCAAAGAAAATTAAACAATTATGGTGACTCATGGGACATTTCCTAGAAAATGAGTGATTATTTTTACTGGTTTATAATGGCCTGCAAAATATTTTTCTACTTTTATGTAAAGCAATTAAACAAAATCATTACATAATACTAAAAAGGATATTGATATGTGATTTAGGAGCTACTATTCATTCAAAAATACAATCCTAAATAAATTAACTAGGGAATAAACCCTATTGAGCACAAATGGGTAATCACGGACACATGTAAACATGTGCAGTGAGTTATAAGACCTGATGTTTCACCTTCTCTAGACAAATAAATAAAAATTTACAACTTTATTGTAGCTGTAAAAATGTGGGTGGGGGAAAGCAGCTCAGGGATCCTCAGTTATCTGAGCAGGATGGGAGTCACAGAAGCACAGTTCCTTCCTCCATCGTTGGGATTTTATTTTTTATTGTATTTATGTCAGACCACAACCGGGGCCTTTCTCAAAGCAACAAATGAATAATATTGCATGAACTGACACCCAGTTGGAACTTGCCAAAATTTGGACTGGCATCCTTATTTGTTGCAAAAATCCACTGCTCCAGATTGGGAAAGGCAAGCCTTTAGGGATGTACAGCCACATCACCTATATTGGTACAGTGGTGCCTCGCAAGACGAAATTAATCCATTCCGCGAGTCTCTTCGTCTTGCCGTTTTTTTGACTTGCAAAGCACGGCTATTAGCGGCTTAGCGGCTATTAGTGGCTTAGCGGCTTAGCGGCTATTAACGGCTTAGCGGCTTAGCGACTATTAATGGCTTAGCGGCTTTAAGAAAAAGGAAACAAACTCGCAAGAACTCGCAAGACATTTCGTCTTGCAAAGTAAGCCCATAGGGAAATTCGACTTGCGGAACGACTCAAAAAACGCAAAACCCTTTCGTCTAGCGAGTTTTTCGTCTTGCGAGGCATTCGTCTTGCGGGGCACCACTGTACTAGAATTATTATTATTCTCTATCCTAAATATTTCTGTGAGTGTAGGCAATCTGTTGGAGCTAATAATGAAGACCAATATCCTTTTTAAACGGGATTTCTGAAAAAAGTCTGTATTTAATGCCTTTCTTAAGAAAGATTAAGGTACAGCGTATGGTATATAACTCTTTCAATAAAGTAATTTAGTTCTGACCCTAGAATTATAGGCTGTAAAAGATCAAGGTGATTTACCTCAGCAATTTAGATCACCAAGGAAAAAAGGCCAATTTAAATCAATGATTTAAAGCAAAAATTCCCAATTATTATTTAGATACTTCCTAAATAAAAGTACATACTAATTGGCTGCTGTTAACATAAAAACACATTAATGGAAAACTGAATAGAGCCTTTATGCCATCTCAGAGGATACATTATAAGTTTCTATTCTTAGATAATGTAATGATCATGATCATGTCAAGCTGCATTAGAATTACACTAACAGTACAAATGTCTAGATATAATTTCCAGGTGAAAGACCAATGGAAACATTGGTTTGGATCCATCTTTCCCCTCTCTAAGTAAAATGCACTTCTGTTTACAAGCAGAGAGCTCTGCTTTTCTCAAAAACTCTTATCAGAGAATTGAGGAACTTTCCAGAGTGTAATCAATGCACCATGGTGGACCGCAACCATGAAAGGCAAAGGATGTATGGGTGGAAGTACTTTCTATTTATATAAACAATCATATTGCATGGATCTATTTGTCATTTTCCTGACAACCATCTCTGTCTACCTTCAGAATTTGCATACTTATAGTATTGCTCCAGAGTAAGAGCTAGTTTTTTGCTAGCCTAAAGCAAACAACAACCACAAAAACAAGATGGAATTTGTGGGCCAATGCCCAGCAGACTGGGGGCAACCAGGGTGGGGGGTGGAGGTGTACAAGGAGTGGAAATGCCACAACACCAGCTTGGGATCGAAACGCTTACAACTTTATTGATTACAGATGTAAGTTGGCTTTGACATAGGCATTTGGTATGTATCCTGAATCAGCCAACCCTGTTGCTGGCTGATAATTCCATTGGGGTCGATCCTAGGATTAAGGACCACCACCCCCATGATGCAAATCAAATAGGGCAATCCCACAAAGTCTCAATTTGGGGGTACAGTGGTACCTTCGCTGTCAAACTTAACCCGCTCCGGGAGTCCGTTCGACTCCCTAAATGGTTCAAAAACCAAGGCGCAACTTCCGATTGGCTGCAGGAGTTTCCTGCACTCAATCGGAAGCCGCGTTGGACATTCAGCTTCTGTAAAATGCACATAACCCGGAACACTCACTTCTGGGTTTGCAGCGTTTGGGAGCCAATTTGTTCGGGAGCAAAGCCGTTCGACAACCAAGGTACCATTGTATTCTCTGGCTTGTTAGCCCCGTTTGGGCTTTTGGACAGAACCCTACCCTTGGACCCCTTTACCGGGGTACCCTGAATTTGATACTAGATCAGAGGGTGGGGCACACCCAGCCATGCATCCAACCCCTTAGCTTAGACTAAGTATCCAACCCAATGCCTTTTTTTTCACCAAAAGTTCTGACACTTACTGTGAGGAAGGCAAAAAGCCCCAGACAGGGCCAATTTGTCTGCAGGCAAATTCCTCCCTGGCCCAAAATATTAATTTCACAGCATTAATCAATGCTGACTTATTAATTCCACTGCAAGGACATACATGTGCTATGCCCGCTTACCTCCGCGTAGAGCCAATAACATACAAGGTGGGTGGGTGCAATGTCCAATTCTGACTGTGTCTCATGCTTGCAGTGCAGCCAGCTTTTATGCTGTGAAAGAAGAATGGCCCCCACAGGTCCATCGCCAGACCATCGTCCACTCAAGGGTAATACCTGGCCCATTTGAATTTAAAGATTTGACGGGCAACCAGCCAGCCCCCCAACCGGATGTGTTCAACAGTGACATCAGCCGGCCACGTGGACTGTCGGCATCTGGGGGTCAATAGGCCAGCTGGCTCAGCCCCAGCTGGATCGTCTCCCTCTCAGCCTTGCTGCTGCGGAGATATATCGACCTCTGGCTCCGACGTAAATCAGCGACTCAAGCCTGCTGACTTTAGTACACTTTACTTAGCAGAGTAAACTGCACAACAGAAGAGGCTTGAGGCTGTAGATACATACTAAAACTACGGATTTATTGCACATAAATCAGGACCAAAAAACATGTCGTCTCTCCTTGCCATCTTCGTGGAGCGAGACACAAAACAAATGCAATACAGAGTAGAAGTTCCACTCACGGGGCCCAGCAGTCTGTGCTGGAATGTAAACAGGCATGTGACATGTAACAATCCCACATATCTGCAACAAAAGGTGGAATGGAATTTCCCAACACGGACAAGATTTTTCTCCCCTGCCGCCTGTAAGTGGTCTTTTATTACACTCAACCTGCATGACACTTAGACCTTAGCGGAAAAAAGCCTGATCTCCTTACAGAAACGTATTCCCCACTAAAATTGAAGCCCAGCAAATTTATTTCTTAGTGGACATATAACGGTAATAAATGCTTCCTGTTTCACAAAGGGATGCTTACAGCGTGATGTGTTCAATAAACTGTAGTATCACACAAATATTAAATATAGAAAACAAATACATTTTGTTTTATTCATTCAATATATTTACAGTTCACTTTTCTACCACTAAAAAGCGCACATATATATATTACAATTGCAGAACTACAGCAGACTTACTGCAAATTTGTTTTTATTCTTATAAATATTGCAAGGTAATTGCAATTAGATATTTCACTAATCTACATATCATTTGAAAACTTATCTGTAACGTGTTTTTCACAGTAATTAGTTTTATGGGTTTGACTAAGCATTTGTATTATTTGTTTTTAAAAATATATTATTAAAATTGTTGACAATTTGCCTTTCCTCTCGAAATCTCAGCAAACAAGGCATATTAAAAGTAGTATCATTAAACAATTGAAAGCACCCAATAAATGCCAATTAGCAACACAGATCATAGTAGCAGAAACATGAAGGCCACCTAATCAGGACCGACTGAAAGATCTTTTGATGAATGCCAACTGTGGCTGATGTTGAAAAACCAAAAAAGGAGGGCAACAAACCTTTCTAAGGATGAGATTCAACATCTCAATGGTATAGAAGAGGTGGCCCTGCCTTCACACCACCCTTTGTACTCTAAGGACTACAATTCTTATTATCCCTGGTGATTGGTCATACCGGTTGGGGTAAAAAATCACATAGAGGGCGTTACATTGGCTATCTCTGTATAGTGGCAGAATTTCTGAATGAATTTCTGGACACTTTCCAAAAGAAGGCCCAATTATTACAACAGTCAAATCTAAATGCAACTTGGGCAAGAATCACCACAGCCAAGCCATTTTTATTATTGGAAATAGTTCTGAACCAAAATTTTAAAAAATCGGATTATTCAAGACAATGTATCTAAATACACTTTTACTAATTTGGAAAAATAATTGTTCTGCAGATGCCTATTACGAAAACATCTGGCGCTGAGAACAGAGAAAGACTTGCTTTTGACTGAATGTACATTAAAAATGTCACCTTACCTTTAAGATCAAACAGATCACAGCAGTCTAAAATTCAATCTGGTGTCATACACACACACACACACACACACACACACACCACCACCACACTTTGTATTAGATTTCCCCAATAAATAGATGCTTGATTCAGCAAAGTAGTGCATAAGTGCTTGGAAGTTTATTCTACATGTATATATATATATATTAAAAGAGTGAGGTCCTTTTTAAAATTTTACTACCTCAAGATTAAATAGTGAATTGGAACATGAAGAATTATCATGAAATTTCTGAAATCATAAGACTGTAATCCTAAACCTACTTATCTGGAAACAGAGAATTTTTCAGAATTCTCACTCAATAACATCATGCTTCATAGGCGCTCAACCTAGGAACAATCTAGTGATATTACAAGTTTGATTCTGAAAGCTGCTAGAAATTCTGTTTCAAAAGGATTTATATAGTTTCCATAGAAGCACAATAATGTCCCTTAAAATAAGTTACTGATATATCTATTTAGAGCACAAAATGTATTCAAAAGAGCCATGCACAAATATCACAATTCGAGAGAAGAGAATTTATGTATTAAAGTTAAATGTGCTGCTTTTACCACCTCTTGCAGGTCCTCAGTGACAGTTCTACTTTCACTAATTAATGACTGAAACCTAAGACAGATTCTTGAAGAATGGCCCTGGTTGGCGTAACTCTGTCAAAATAACTTCAGATCAGTAAATGTAGGCCAAGCTTTACAATTCCTGACAATGAGTGTGAAAAAGATAAATATGAGAAAAAATTGGGCCACCTATGAATAATTAGTAAAAGAGATGGAGAACCAATGGAAGCTAAAGCCACATGAAGATGTAAAATGTATGTTGAATGATTGGCTGCATTATCGTCAAGTTAAAGAAGATAAAAACAAAAATGGATTTTGATATACAAAATCAAGATTTGAATTGGAATTATTAAATAACAGAGTTAAAATATTACCTAAAATGTATAAATTACTATTGGGATGGCATTTGAAAGATGAGGAAGTTAAATTGGTTATGATTCATTGGGCCAAAGATATTGGTTATAATATACAAATAGAGGATTGGGAAAAATTATGGAAAGAGGGAATAAAATTTACTGCTTGCAGTGCATTGAAAGAAAACATTATGAAAATGATGTACAGGTGGTATATAACACCAGTGAAGTTACCTAAAATGTACAAAACAGATAACAAATGTTGGAAATGTAAAGAAAAGGAGGGTACTTTTACCAAATGTGGTGGGAATGTAAGAAAGTGAAGGACTTCTAGGAAATTTTATAATGAATAAAAAAAAAATGCTGAAATATACATTTGTTAAAAAACCAGAAGCCCTTCTACTGGGTATTGTGGGTACAGAAATTCGTATGAATGATAAAAAAATGTTTTTATATGAAATAACTGCAGCAAGGATATTGTTAGCCCAAAGATGGAAGCAAGAAGAAATGCCAGCTAAAGAAGAGTGGCAAGAGAAATTGATGAACTATGCTGAGATGGCAAGATTAACTGCGAAAATTCAGAACCAGAAGGACCAGACTTTTCTAAAGGAATGGAAGAAGCTTTCGACGTATTTGGAAAGCAACTGTAACCAATTGACATCACTTATAGGGTTAAAAGAAGATTTGTAAGGAGTAATATATAAATTATTGTGAAAAGAATTAAGAATAGGTATTAAGATTTGAATTTATAGCAATAACTGTAGTAAAAAAAATGCATAATTAGAAAGGATTTTAGAAAACCATCAGTTGAGGTTGAAGGAAGTCTTAGGCTGTGATAGCCAAAGACTTTGAAATGATGTTTAAAAGGATGATATGCTGAAAAATATGTGTAAAAAAAATAAAAAATATTCATTAAAAAAAGCAATGATACTTCTCACACATCTCATAGATTCCCTAACTGATCAGCATTGCGGGTTTAATGCTTGCTAGACTGTTCCATGTCTCTTCAAGCTTTGACCCCTGTTCTAACTTCAGGGATGCCTGTGAGTGCAAGACTTCTTCAGCTTAACTAGAAATTTCTCCTTGGCATGGCTAACGGGTTGCCTTGTGAGCTATGCATTCTCACCTGGGCTGGATGGGTACCCATTCAGAAAAGCTAATTGTATCTGCAAACTGTAAAGGGCTCCCCACTTGATTTCCAAATCACTGCACAAACAATCTGGTTTTGGCAACGTCTGTGATCCTGCAGGCCTAGTGAAACACAGCTCTCGCTACCTCATGACAGGTTGTCTCTCTTCTCCTTCTACTACCTTTCTCATTTTCCTAATTTTGGTCTCTTTCAATCCTTGTATTATCCAGACCCCAGTCATTTGCATTTGTACTTTTCTATTGGTGCATATAGGCTTAAACTACAACTCTGCTAAGAGCTTGTCCACACTCTGTTAATAGGCACTCTCTCTGCTCCATCTTTTTCTAGTCTGTGTAGGTCCAAGCAGGATTAGTTTGGAAAGCCTGTGTAACTTGCTATTTTGCTTTGTTTACTGGCACTTCAAGACATCAAGCCATTTTACTCACTATCTGCCATTTTGTGTTAATATTTTAATTATAGTAACATTTGTGGTTCTTGCTAATTCCCACAGGAAAGCAAGACAGTATCGGTGGTTTTAAATTGGCTGATTTAAAATGGCAATAATCTAGAGCAGTTGCTATTGTGGCATACAATTAATTCCAGAGCAAAAGATCCCCAAAGTGTTACTTTCGTGAGCATACGTGTACATTATGGGTTTAAACATAAGCAGTGTTTTTTCTGGGGGGACGAAGGGGGACACCCCCCCTAAACATTTTGTGAATCTAAGTTTGGCCTCATTGAGGGGCACTGTTTCAATATGAGTAGGAAAATGAGAGTATCGCTAAACCTTTTTCTTTTAGGAAAAAAGCACTGCTTGTAAGTGTGAATAGAGAGATATGCAGATCAGTTAACAGAGCCAACAACATCACAATTTCAGACATCTGAAACAGAGTGCCTATATTTCTCTTGTATCAACCTTTTAAACGATTACATATTTCTTTTAAACAAATGTTTCTGAAGCCCTACTCAGAAAATGAAGTTTCTAAAGCCTGACATTTCTCAGAGACCTCTTCTTGAGTTGTCTGGGGACTGGCTTGTAGGGAAGGGGATCAAGCCCCCTCTTCTCCCACCTCTCCCCATGTTCCACTGCTTAAAGACATTATTCCACAGCCTGACTTTGAGCCCAGCTGAGATGAGCTGCAGAGGGCGGAGGGAGATAATGCAGAGAAGAGTTTCACTCCCCTATCCCACATACTCTGTTTAGTGTGAAATGCTAAGTCTATTCTTTATAGCTGA